GGTTGAGATAAGGATAGCTATACAGGGCATTGACTCACATTGATTTCCTGTGCGTGTGTGTTACCTTCTAGGTTAATTCTTTTTGATATCACCTTTTCTCTAGTACCTGTTCCCCTTCTCCTATTGGCCTCAGTTGCTTTTAAGGTATCTTTTTTAGTTTCTATGCGTTGAGGGCAACAAATGCTAGCTAATTTTTTAGGTGTCTTACCTATCCTCATATCTCCCTTGTGTGTACTCACTTTTATCTTGTGATCAAAGTCAATCCCCTTGTGTGTTTGCCCTTGATCTAATGTCCGCATATGAGGGAGAACATAGGATTTTTGGTCTTTTGGGTCAGGCTGACCTCACTCAGAATGATGTTCTCCAATTCCATCCATTTACCAGCAAATGATAACATTTCATTCTTCTTCATGGCTGCATAAAATTCCATTGTGTATAGATACCACATTTTCTTGATCCATTCGTCATAGGTGGGGCATCTTGGCTGTTTCCATAACTTGGCTATTGTGAATAGTGCCGCAATAAACATGGGTGTGCAGGTGCCTCTGGAGTAACCTGTGTCACAGTCTTTTGGGTATATCCCCAAGAGTGGTATTGCTGGATCAAATGGTAGATCAATGTTTAGCTTTTTAAGTAGCCTCCAAATTTTTTTCCACAGTGGTTATACTAGTTTACATTCCCACCAACAGTGTAATCCTCGCCAACACCTGTTGTTGGTGGTGCTGCTAATGATGGCTATTCTAACAAGAGTAATGTGGAATCTTAGTGTAGTTTTAATTTACATTTCCTTTATTGCTAGAGATGGTGAGCATTTTTTCATGTGTTTTTTTGGCCATTTAAATTTCTTCTTTGAGAAAGTTCTGTTAGTTCACTTGCCCATTCTTTTATTGGTTCATTAGTTTTGGGAGAATTTAGTTTTTTAAGTTCCCTATATATTCTGGTTATCAGTCCTTTGTTTGATGTGTAGCTCGCAAATATTTTCTCCCAATCTGGGGGTGTTCTCTTCAGTTTACAGACCATTTCTTTTGTTGAGCAGAAGCTTTTTAGTTTTATGAAGTCCCATTTATCTATGCTATCTCTTAGTTGTTGTGCTGCTGGGGTTCCATTGAGAAAGTTCTTACCTATACCTACTAACTCCAGAGTATTTCCTACTCTTTCCTGTATCAACTTAGAGTGTGGTCTGATATTAAGATCTTGATCCATTTTGAGTTAACATTTGGTATAGGGTGATATACATGGATCTAGTTCAGTTTTTTGGCAGACCTGCTAACCAGTTTTCCCAGCAGTTTTTGTTGAAGAGGCTGTTTTTCTCCATCATGTATTTTAAGTCCTTTGTCAAAGACAAGTTTGGTTATAGTTTGTGTGGCTTCATATTTGGGTTCCTCTATTCCTGTTCCCACTGATCGTTTCATGTCTATTTTTTGTGCCAGTAGATTACTTTTGGGAGTATACGACATTTTTACCATGTGGATTCTACCAATCCATGAGCATGGGAGTCGCTCCACAACTTTCTATATCTTCCTTAATCTGCTTTCTTCAGAAGTTTATAGTTTTCCTTGTAGAGGTTGTTCACATCCTTTGTTTAGGTTTACACCTAGGTATAGGATCATGTCATCTGGAAATAGGTATTTTGACAGTTTCTTACCTATTTGTATTCCTTTATTTACTTCTTCTTGCCTAATTGCTCTGGCTAGGAATTCCAGTACTATGTTAATAGGAGTGGAATAGTGGGCAACCTTGTCTAGTTCTGATTTTAGAGGGAATGGTTCAGTTTTCTCCATTTAAGTATAATGCTGGCTGTAGGTTTGTAATATAAAGCTTTATAATGTTGAGGTACTTCCTTCATTCCTATTTTCCTAGAGCTTGTATCATGAAATGGTGGTTGTCTTATCAAAGGCTTTTTCTGCATCTATTGAGATGATCAAGTGGTTTGTCTTTGCTTCTGTTAATGTGGTTTATTACTTATTGATTTTCATATGTTGAACACCCCTGCATTCCTGGATGAAGCCTACTTGGTCGTGTGAATAATCTTTCTTTGATGTATTGTTTGACTTCGGTGCCATTATTGTGAGGATTTTTGCATTAATGTTCATAAGGAGATGGCCTATAGTTCTCCTTTTTGGAGGTGTCTTTGCTGGTTTGGGATAAGTGTAAATACTGGTCATAAAATGGTTTGGCAGTTTCTTCCCTTTCTATTCAGGGAACAGTTAAGGAGGGTTGGTATCAGTTCTTCTTTAAAGGTCTGATAGAAATTCAGCAGAGAATCCATCAGGTCCTGGACTTCTTTTTTGGGGAGGACTTTTGAATTGCTGCTTCAATTTCATTTTGTGTTATAGATCTATTCAGGTGATTAATTTCCTGTTGTTCAGTTGGATGATCATATGTATCTAGAAATCTGTCCATTTCTTTAAGATTTTCAATTTATTTGAATACAGGTTCTCAAAGTGTCTCTGATGATTTCCGGACTTCCATGGTGGGTTTGTTGTTATCTCCCTTTTGCATTCCTGATTCTACTAATTTGGGTTTTTTCTCTCCTCATTTTAGTCAGGTTTGCCAGGGGTCTGTTGATCTTGTTTATTTTTTCAAAGAACCAACTTTTGTTTCATTAATTCTTTGTATGGTTTTTTTGGTTTCTATTCATTGATTTCAGCTCTTATTTTATTATTTCTCTCCTATTTTTTTGGGTTTGCTTGTTCTTGTTTTTCTAGGAGTTTGAGATGTATCATTAGGTCATTGATTTGGGATCTTTCAGTCTTTTTTAATATATGCACTCATGCTATAAACTTTCCTCTCAGAACTGCCTTTGCGTGTCCCATAGGTTCCGGTAGGTTGTTTTCATTTCATTGACTTCCAGGAACTTTTTAATTTCCTTTATTTTATCATGACCCATTGTTCATTAAGTAATGAGTTATTCAGTTTCAGCTGTTTGCATTTTTGTCTTTATTTTTGTTGAGTTCTAGTTTTATGCATTGTGATCAGATAGTATACATGGTATAATTTCTATTTTCTTTTTTGTTGAGTTCTAAGTTTTACTGCATTGTGATCAGATAGTATACATGGTATAATTTCTATTTTCTTATATTTGCTGAGGCTTGCTTTGTGCCCTAAGATATGATCCATTTTGGAGAAGGTTCCATGGGCTGCTAAGAAGAATGTATATTGTGTAGAAGTTGGATAAAATGTTCTGTAGACATCAAGTAGGTCCATTTGATCTATTCTATGTTTTAGATCTAGGATTTCTTCATTGATTTTTTATTTAGATGACCAGTCTTGATGATGTTGAGGTTTTAAAGTCTAACTACTGTGTTGTAGTTAATATGTGCTTTTAGGTCCTTCAGGGTATGTTTGATGAAATTGGGTGTGCTAACATTGGGTGCATATAGGTTGATAATTATTATTTCCTTTTGGCCTATTTCCCCTTTTATTAGTATGGAATGTCCTTCTTTATCTCGTTTGATCAATGTAGGTTTGAAGTCTACTTTGTCAGAGATAAGTATTGCTACTCCTGCCTGTTTTCGGGGGCCATTGGCTTGGTAAATCTTCTTCCAGCCTTTCATCTAAGCCTATGCTTATTTCTGTCGGTGAGATGGGTCTCCTGTAAACAACAAATTGTTGGATCTTCCTTTTTAATCCATTTTGTCAAGCGGTGCCTTTTGATGGGTGAATTAAGTCCATTAACATTAAGCGTTAGTACTGATAGTTATGTGGTGATTCCAGTCATTTAGTTGTCTTAGTTGTTTGAAGCTTTGATTGTGTGTACCTAAGTTGAGGTTACTCTCTACTTTCTTGCTTTTTCTTTTCCTGTAGTTTGGTGCTGCCTGTCCTTTCATGGGTTATGTTGGGTTTCCACTTTCTGTGTGCAGAATCCCTTGAAGAATCTTTTGTAGTGGTGGCTTTGTGGTCACATACTGTTTTAGTTTCTGCTTATCATGGAAGACTTTTATTGTTCCATCTATTTTGAATGATAGTTTTGCTGGGTAGAGTATCCTGGGGTTGAAGTTATTTTCATTCAGTGCCCGGACGATCTCTCCCCAAGGTCTTCTTGCTTTTAATGTTTCTGTTGAGAAGTTCTGTGATTTTGATGGATTTGCCTTTGTATGTTATTTATTTTTCCTCTTACAGCCTTCAATATTCTTTCCCTAGTTTCTGAATTTGTTGTTTTAATGATGATATGTCGTGGGGTAGTTCTATTTTGATCTGGTCTGTTTGGTGTTCTGGAGGCGTCTTGCATTTGTATGGGAATATCTTTCTCTACATATGGGAAATTTTCTCTTATCATTTTGTTGAATATATTACGCATTCCCTTTGCTTGCACCTCTTCTCCTTCGATGCTCATGATTCTCAGGTTTGGGGCATGACACTTTCTTGACGCTAGTCAGGGGCCTGCACTATAGCCTCCAGTCAGCTACACATGCTCTATAGTGCACCAGGTTGATTTTCAATAGGTCATTAAGTGCTTTTGCAACTCACATTTTTTTCTTCTTCTTTTGAGGCTGGGTCTCATTTGTAGCCCAATCTTGCCTCAAGCTCAAGATCTTCCTGACTCAGTCATGCCACCAGAATGCAGATATTACAGATGTGCACTATCCTACCCAGCTAACTACAGTGTTTATCAAGATGTAACACCATCATAAATCAAGAAGCACTGTACTTTAATTCAGGTACCTTAACATCAGCACTACCCTAAATACAGAATTAAAATATACTTGATAAATCCTACCTTAACATCCGTACCATCTGTGGGCATAAACTCTTCATATATATATGAGCCTGTTTTTCGTACATTGCTTTCTGGGGAATATACACTACTTCTACTGCCAATCTGAAAGTAAAATATGTCCATCAATATAAAAACCAAATAATTTTCCTCATTCTTATAATATAACCCTTGTTAACCATCTATTTCCATACAGTGCTTATTATAAATTTTGGCACTGTATTATTCTTAACTGTATCTGTAACTCACATGTAAATTAAAGATATCCATGTTGCTACATGTAACACAGGCTATTCCTTTTCACTACTATAGAATTTTCTAATATGTAAGTAAACCAAAATTCATCCATTCAACTAATTAATGTGCATTTAGATTATTTTCTAAGTTTTGAGCATTACAAGTATGTTGCTTTAAACATAGTGTCAACACACCACATGTGTGCACTTTTGTTTCAAAACTGATAGGTGGCTCATGTTCAACTATTCATATCCTGCCAAAATCTTTGAAAACTTCTTTAACACTTATCAGCAATATATGAATCCAACTGTTCTACATTGTCAACATTTTTGTCTATACTTGATATTGTTAAACTCTTAAATATTTGCCATTATAATGGCTATTAAATTTTTTGTGTGTGTTATTAATTTGCATTTCCATGATTGGTTATAATGCATCTTAAATTCAGATACATTACTAAATTATGTTGATAAGAAGCTGCCAATGATGTTTGTGCCTGGACTACCAACTACCTCAATTATTATTTTTTCTATCTTTGTCAATACATAAAGTAATACAGTGCCATTGTATTTCAGATTTGACTTGCATTTATTTTATTATGGCTACATTAAGCATGCATTCATGTATGCAAATGTTATTGGCTTTTTTTTTCTTTGAACTAATTTTTCTAGGTTATATTTCTAAATGACTGCTTATCTGTTTTTTGGGGTGTTTTTGTGGTACAGGAATTTGAACTCAGGGCTTTGCACTTGCCAGGCTGTCATTCTACAGCCTGAGCCACACCTCCAAGATTGCTTATCTTTGGCCAAATTTCTAGTCTGACAGAAATACAAATGGGAGATAGAAGAAAAATCAAGTAACTTTCTTGGTACTCTTCAGGGAGGAATTTTGTTTCAAAACACTAAAAAACTACAATGATTCCTTGCTTTTCTAACAGAGTATGGCATCAATTTTATAAATTTACCTGTAAATGACACAATTTTTTTTTGTGTGTGTGGTGCTGGGGCTCAAACTCAAGGACTTCACCTTGTGCCACTCCACCAGCCTTTTTTTGTGATGGGTATTTTCGAGATAGGGTCTTGCCAACTATTTGCCCAGGCTGGCTTTGAACCGTGATCCTCCAGACCTCTGCCTCCTAAATAGCTAGGATTACAGGTGTGAGTGACCAGCACCCAGCAATACATTTTTGAAAGTTCAATATTTAGTCATAAAATCAAATAACTTGATCATAAATCAAATTACTCGATTACTTTACCTCTTTTTTCTTCTCGCAGCACTGGGGTTTGAACTTAGGGCCTCAAACTTGCTAAGCAGGCACTCTTACCACTTGAGCCATTCCATCAGCCCTAACTTGATTACATTTAATAAAATTTATACAACAATGAAGAACATTATTCATACAAAGGTCACAAAGATTTACCTTTCTAAAGAGTCTTTGACTTCCACCTCCAGCAGATGTTGGATAATAAATGTAAACATTGTGATCTTCTGCACTGACAGGCTTTTCTACAAATGGCTTTTGGAAAACCTCCCCGTTTACTTCTACATGATCTTCTCCTTCAATCAGATTGCACTCTAAAATTCAAATGCAATAACAAGAAAAATTACACTTTCATTACATTACTTAGATACCATTTTTTAATAATAAAAAGCAATAAAATTTATTATTCTAACTTCCAGTTTTGCTCTACCAGCAAGAGCGAATTTATTGGTGGAGATATAGCTCAGTGGCATAACAAGCATAGGCCCTAGGTTAGATACTTAGCACCAAAGGAAAAAAAAAACAACACAGCAATCCTACCTTATTTAATAACATTCATAAGACTAAGAAATGGTTGCAGCAAGGATTCTTAACTCTAGCTTCATGCTATAATCATTTACTCTGGGAAGCTTTTGAAAAATGACTGATACAAAATCTCAGGGATTAGGGTGTAACATATTTTTAAAAAGCTCCTTTTGTGATTTTGATTTGCAGCCAAGGCTAAAATCCTGTTCTTTTAATCCACCAAAGTCTAATGCCATCTCACAGCAATCTTCATCATTAAGATATTTCTTATTGTACATCTACATTAATGAGAGTCTTGACTACGATAGCTTACATCCTAAAAACAAAAGGATTATAGAAACAGATGCATAGAACAGAACCTGTAGGGAAGCAGAGTTAGCATAACAAATTACAGAATTCCATCAACATTTATGTAATATATGATGGTCTAGTACGACATTATTAACTGCAATTTTAAGTGTTTTATTTGAGTATACAAAACTTTCATTCCAAAATTAGTACCTTGTAACTTGATATATGAATTCTAGTTCTGAAAGTTCTTTTTCCTTTGTTTTATAATTTTTTTTAATTTAAATTGCTTACGATTATGGAGGACTTTTTTTTTTACTACAAGAGAGATCAAGAAGAAAAATAAACTTGAATAAAATACTTGCTTGATTTTAATTGAAGATATTTACACAAACAACATACACCAACATCTGTGGCATAAATGACACAAAGAACTGTTCCTTCCTCTGAATATTACGGACTTGCCATTTCACGTCACTGTGACACAGGATTCAAAGTCAGACATGAAATGATGTCATCAAAAGAGACTGAGATGTTAACTCCAGGATGGTACCATCTTCTAGAAAATGTATAGGATTATTCATATCCCAGATACCACAAACATTGAAATTATTCAACTTTGAAAAGTAACTCATACATAGAGTAAGCAATCCATTCAGGAAGTTAATTTTTCACCTCTAGAAAAGTGAGAAAGTTCCCTGTGTCAGATGATAAATATTGTATCTCATTTTTAATAAAAATTGCTTGCAGGTAAATTGTCAAAATTTCCCATAACACTATTGCCAGAATATTAACTCTTAAGACAAACATTAGTCTAAGATATGCAAAGCTTAACTTAGTATTAGATACTTGGTATGTATTAGATAACCAGGAAAAAAGGAGAACCAGGTGCTTTAAAGTACAGTATTATTTTAAAATTCCTTATCATTAGATATTTAATCATGGCATTGTAGCATAAAGTTTCTAAGTCATGGATGAATCACTTTGTTTTTCCTAATCAATACAAATTTACCAACAATAAAATTTCAAAATTCATCTTGAAATTATTAGTTAGAATTTTAGTTCACAGTATTGCTTTTTGTTTTGTTTTGTTTTTGAAATAGGAACTTGCTGGGTAGCTCAGCTACCTGTATCAAGGCTGATCTCAAATTCCCAATCCTCCTACTTCAGCCTCTGTGTTGGAATTTCAGGAGTATGCCACCATGCTGGGCTCAGTATCACATTTTAACAGCATATATGCTTATTTGTTTAGATAATTAAACAAAACTATTAAATGGAATTCTATGAATTCTCAAGTTCCTTCTACTTAATGTAGGGAAGTGGCCAAAAGTATGCCAAACAGCAAAAGGCAACATAAGTAAATCTTACTCTTACCTTTGGGATTATTTGGATCACGGTTCAAAATTGCATAACGAGGAAGTAAAATACCTTCAGCTTGAAGAATACTATATACTTCTCTCCTAAAGAAAAAGAAAAATATCGTTATTTTACTGCTCTTTTTCATATGAGTATACTGTTGTACAACTATAGTCTTACTCTTCACTACTAAAAAGGGTATGTATATCAATTCATTTTATTTTTTTAAATAAACATATCATTTTGAATACTGAAGAAATGGCTTCTAAAGAAAAGTATGCACCATACTAAAATAAGAATGCAAATGTACCAAAAGAAATGGTTAAATAAAGTTGATATATCATGATGGAATATAACCTAACTACCAAAAATGTAGTTAATATTGAAAACGTATTAATAAGTAAAATTGTATTATGCTAATTAACACATATAAAAAGTGTATTATGTTACTATTTAATGATATGGGGAAATATTTACAGTATGCCAAGAGAAAATGGCTCGAGTTTTGTAAGATGTGAGTGTATATACATACTGCTTTCTATATGAAAAATATGGTAGATACAGTGACATGATCAAATAGTTTTCTTTCTGCTTTTATTTTTTTAAACTTCATGCATTTTTAAATACATAGATAATATGTATAAGACTCATTACTATGTAAACCAAAGACATTTAAAATTTAAAATTTTTAGATAATACTACTATTCTCGAAGAATAAAAAATAGAAAAACAAAAACTACAGGGTGTTATACTTTTATAAAGTATTTTCATGTGAGTAATCTTGTAATATTAACAGAAAAGAAAATAGAATGCTGGTGAAATTATGAGTAGCTATCAGAATGAAATACCAATTAAATGAAATAGATAAATATACTCATATTTTATAATAGCTTTTAGAAATCTACACTTTTAGGTTCTTCAATGAATGCTAAGATATACAGTAATTTTTTTTTCTAATGGGTATACTGTAATGTTAGTTATAGGACTGGGAGTGGGGCTCAAATGATAGAGTGCCTGCCTAGCAGTGTGAGGTCCTGAGTTCAAACCCCAGTACTGAAAAAAAAGCAACAAAGACACACACACACCCAAAAAGTCTAGTTATAATAAGTAAATCCTAGTTTCATCATCCAAGGGTTTAGTAGGATTTGGAAATTTAATTCCTTATCTCACTACTTGGAAACTAATAATTTTGGACAAATCAAATGATTTGCCTGATTCTCAAGTTTCCACATTTGTAAAATTAGCTAACAAATACCTATTTCTGAGTAGTACTTTAAGGATACAGTGAATTAATGCATGTGAAAACACCTGATGCCGTATCAGTGCATAGCAGGTACTAAATAAATTTTAATTTTCCTTTCCTTAATTCAGCCAACTTTACCACTCACCTATCTTGTATGAGATACTGCATATTCAAGTCATTGATTACAAATGGATTCCTGAGTTTTGCATAGGCAACTGCTTTGTCCAGTGGAAATCCTAAGAACACATATTATTAACATATTCTGTACAATCTCAAAATAAGTTGATGTCTATAAATTTAGCAACTTGATTCAATGCCACAACCCATAAAAGAATAATTTCATTATCCACATTTCTACTTTCTATAAAAGACATGGAATAATGCAAACTCTAACTTATAAATTTTACTCTTTCCTAATTAATGCCATTGAAAAGGCACACCAAGTGACTATATTATTAAATTAAAGCACTGACAGGTTAGTAAATGTCTGATTATTCAAAATCTTAACTGATGAAGGTAAAATTTCCTCACAAAGAAAAATCTATAATCTAAAGTAATCTAAAGCATCACAATCACTTGGTGATTTTTTAAAAATGCACTGTATATACAACTCCTTTTTAATTTGATATTTTAATGCTAACACATAAATTTGCTGATATTCAAAAAACTTATGTACTTTTAAAAATAGCAGCAAAAGGGAAAAAATGAATGCACATACAACACATAATGCTCAAAATACAAATGTATGAGCAGAATCATGCTGCTGGCAGGTCAATGTTAAGATATCAAAAATTAAATTTCTAGATTTTGGTAAAATTACTAGTTGAAGTGAAAATGAATAAAATACAGATATGGTAAAGAGACCAAAAAAAATCCTAAAGAATTTTAATGATTATATTTTACTCTAATTGACACTGTCTTTAATTTTACCCATCAATACACATTATTAAGAAAGGCAATACACTATAGCAGTTAAGAGTATGAACCAGTGTTCAAGTACTGCCTCCATCTTTCACTAGCTACATAATCTTGTGAATAGTTATTAAATATCTCTAATCTATGACCTTAGCTGTAAATGAGCACTACATTGGTCTTACCTAGTGGGATTTTTTAGGAATTAAATAAAAGAGTATATATAAAACACTTAGCATAGAATCAGGCACAGTAAGTGCTCAAAAAAAAAAAAATACTACCTGTTATTATTCTGTGACAATATATTAATGAATATCTCTCTTATCTATGGAAAAGGAAAAACATTGGCAAGCATGCACAACTTTAGAATTTTACCACTGAATTCAAAGTATATCGGTGAAGACACTGCATTTCTGCAGCATTTTGAAAAGTTAGAAAAGTATTAAAGCACATTGAAATTATAATAAAAAGTTATGTCCAGTTAAACAAGATTTATTCCTAAATTATCTTTAGGTTTTAAATTTTAAAAACAGACACTCTCTACCATAATCAGCTCTGGACACCAGTTACAAATCCTTCAAGTTTTATAAATACTCTCAGAATTCATCACTTGTGAAGATGTCTTAGTGTCTATGGTTTGAAATCTCCTCCTGGAAGTCAGCGAACAGAAAACACCTCCAATCAGTTCCCCGCTTCTGTCATTAAAGAGGAAGTTTTTCCTTACTAAAAGATGTATATGGGACATGACTTTAGACATAGCACCTAGTTTTTAGAGGCAAATATGGCTCTCTTTGAAATAATGAAAATCAATTTGTACTGTGGGAGCACAAAAAACCTCAACCCTTCCCCATCTTCTTCCAGTTGAAGTGACACTTTAGCACAGGTCAGCACTAAGTTATTTTGGTAAAAGATCATGGTTAAAAATGGATACATTCATAATTAAGAACACATTTTTAAAATTATAGTTCTTAGTAGAAAATTCAATTAAATCACAGGTGTTTATTATAAACTTTCAGATGTATATTTAGCAATAATTTCGATTAGTGGATTTTACTATAAAATACTTAAGCTTTAATGGTAATTGTTTGATTAAAAAATAGTGATTTTTAAATATTAAATTTTTTAAATAAGACAGACATAGTGTTTTTTTCTAGTTTGAGATAAAGATAGCTATACAGAGAGATTCCTAGCATTGATTCCATGCACTTGTGAATTTCAACCACATTGGTTAATCTCTACCAGACCTCTTAAGAAAAAAGTATGCATACATATGTAAGGAATGATAGATTGTTTCCTATGTGGTAACAACATAGGGCTTAAAATTTCAATAATTCAAGAATTTATCTAATGTATATAACGCAAATGCAAACAAAGATATACATTCAAAGAACTGATCTCAACCTTATTCTTAATAGCAAAAAGTGGAAATCTTCTAAGTGTTTGGATATTAAATATGTTACACTACATCTACACAATAATACACTATACCATCTAAAACTCAGGTTACATGTTTTATATATATGTAGATATATACATATGTATGTAGAGGGAAAAAATCTCTTGATAGAACAGTGAAAAAAGTTAAATATAAACATACATCAATATGACACTAAGTTTAAAAAATATACAAAGAAGAAAAAAACTAGGAAGAAATATTTCAAAATGTTACTGTGAATGGGTTAGCTTGATTTTATTTTCCTGTTTTAGCCAATATTCTACAATTAATATGTATTAGTTCTATAATCAGAGAAGATAAAGGAGGGGGTCCCTCTTTTTAATACCTTTAGAATGGAAAGAAATAAGACAATCACATAAAGGCCAGTTTTCCACTGGTTCATTCAAAATAACTTCCTCTTCAAATACTACTACTGTGATGTATTTAAATAAGGAGATCCGTTCCAGAATTTCCTTCATTGGTTTAGATTTGGATTTCTTTGCCATGGAACATATTCCAACCACAATCTGTCTTTCTGGTGGCTAAAAAGAAATTTAAAAAAAAAAAATCAGGTTGGATTAACAAGAATTACAAAATATAGCTATCTTAATTTCTTTTAAGAAGTAGGTAAGGCAATATGATGAATCAATAAAAGTGGCATTAACAAAAGTATTACAACTTATATCGATGTTATATTAAATACATTATATATAATTTTCTACAAAGCCCTAGGAAAAAAAAAACACTTTCAGCATATTATTACTATTTTTAGTCAAATATAAAACGTAAATACCCCTTCTTCAAATGCTTATAGCATTTATTTATCTTCCACATGGCAGAAAATGGCAAAGAGCCAAAGTGCATCCAATCCAAGTACAAAGACCAATGGGAATGAAACAAAGAATTTTCTTGCCTAAAATAAGATACGTTTCCAACTACAAATATTATGTGGTCAACAATGATAACTTGGCATGGAATTTTAGAGAAAGCCACACTGCTAACAGAATTGTTAATAGTCTTTAACATCTCACTCTTCATACTCAATATTCCTACTTCACAGTTTTGCTAACTGCAGTATTTTAGACTTTTAAACCATGATTAGGTTTAAGCTAAAAAGGCAGACTACATAAATAGTAATTTAATGAGTAGCTCACAGAGTCATAAAATTACTCAAAATCCATTCTTGAATATTTGCATTAATCTGAGGTCTTAAAACTTTTAGGTGCAACTTACATAGAGCTGTGTCTAGTTTAATCATTTCAATTGTTTTTTCTATTATTTTTATACATTTCATATGACATTAAAATCTGTGCTCAAAAGTGGCTTACCAGACTTACTATAATCTAAAACTAAAACTGCATAGCATCATAATTAAACTATTCTTCTTTATGCCTAAAGACATGGTTGCATACAGCTTCTTCTAACTCAGGAAAGTTAAAGTTAAAATTGGTATTGGATTTTATTATAAATCATCTAGATTATAAATTGTAACATCCTGGGGACCTGCTACCTTTATGTCTTCTGATCACCCATTTTTAAGTTCCCTTATTCAATTTTTTCCTGATCAAAAGCTACGATAATAGTTTGTTATATGTTTCTAAAACAGCTATTCCAAGACATCAAAAATATTCAAGTTACTTTTCTCATAACCACGACAAAATACTTGAAAGAAACTACTTAAAGGAAGAAGGGTTTATTTTGGCTAATGTTCCAGAAGGTTCATTCCATGGTTCCTTGGCTCTATGTGCTTGGGCAGAATATCACCATTGCAAGTTTGTGTGGCATAAGAGGTTCTACCTCATGGGGACAGAGTGGGAAGTTGGTATAACCCCCAATGACTTATTTCCTCCAGCCAGTCCTTATCTCCCAAAATTTCTACAATCTCCCAAAATAAAATCACCAGCCGTGGACAAGCACTCAAAACATGAGACTGTGGGGGACATTTCATATTCAAATCACAACATCAACCTAACATTTCACACTGCTTTACTCTAAAAAAAAAAAAAAAACCATTTATGTTGCATTGTTTTGTTATAGACCAATTTAATGAATATCACACTAATCAGAACTCCAGAGAAAAAGGGGAAGACTAGTAGAGGCTAAGTCAGTAATCCTTTCAAGCCTAACTGAGTCAGAGAAGCTTTGCTTCCATTTTTTATGTACAGGACTTCTAGTAAGACTTCAGAATTTTGGTGGAGGGTAAGAAAGAAAGAAACTTGAAAATCATTCCCTCCACCCCACAAGAACAGAGTGGGAGAGGTGCTCTGCCTTGAAAGTTTTAAATAAGGGACAGGCCAATTTGTATTTCAGATTTGTATAACTTCACTGTGAACGATGTTGACATGATGGGAAAGGATTTAAAGAATTATGTAATAGCTACTTTTGGGTTATTTTACTACTTTTACCAAGAATGACAAGGTTTTCTTTTAAAATAAAATTCTGCTTCCAATTTGAAATATAAGAAAAATAAACACTTGTTGTACGACTGTATTTTAAATCAGTTCTCAGAATAAACTAATCTTTGCTTGTAAAAAAAATATATATATCAAGGACAAGAAAAATATTTGACTGATATAACTAGAAAAACGAACATAACAGATGTGTCTCATTCCAAAAATGCAGTATGGTTGTAACATTCTAATCTATCCAAAAGAAAATAAGATACACACACACTCTCTCACACATACACAGTCACTCTTGTGTACACACACTCACATAGAAGTTTGAGGTAGTCTCTCCTAGCTACTTAGTTTTTAGACTTTTGAATAGTTAACAGAGATATCTTCAGTTTAATACTCGTTAGTAGCTTTAAGATTATTTCCTTCTGCTTCTTTATCTTGATATATTTGTTATACATTAGTAAAAATTCTATATTGTGTCAGTCTCTCACAGAAAAAGAAATAAAACTCACAGATTCATCCTCTTCCTCTTCCTCTTCGTCTGCATGGTGGAAGAAATGTCGATAATTTCCAGGATTTATTTCTGTATCTTCAGGCCCAACAAAGAATCTGGGGGCTTCACTCATTTTTATTTCATTTGACAAAAATATAATTTATATGATCTGTATTAAAACTGCTTCTAAATATAGCACATCAGAAGAAAGCATTCTTCCTGTACTGGCTGACACAGAGTTCTGCTGCAGTTTGTTTCTTCTGATACAATCACTTGAAATTGTGATGACAGTTAGCTGGCGAATACTCCTTTGTTCTCAGATATTATTGCTTCATTGTTGCTATCAAAATTGCTGCTGCAGTTTAAAATACAAAAACAGTGAGGCTACTGCTCCTCTGAGTTACCTAAAATGTAATGGAAAAGTTAATTTGCAGAGGGTACATCAAAAACATTCATGTAAAAATAATTTTAAATTATAATGTAAACTCAGCACCAATAACTTAATGAAGTTTGTCAAAATGAAAATGTGTTTTCTTCTTAAAAATTAAGAAATTAAGATTATAGTCTTCAGTAAAATATATACTAGGAATTTGGTAAGACAATACTACATAATGAAAAGACTACAGACTAAGTCCAAATATATCTAACAAATTAGGAGAAAATTATTCAAATTAAAACAAAATTATGTTAAAAGTTAGAACCCTCAGCATACAGTTCAGAAGGACCTGAATGGAATGGAAAAGAACAGATAAAATATAATGAGCATTGAAAAACCACTAAACATTAATCTGAAATGACATTAAATCAATTTGCAAAAGTGCAGTTTGAAAAAGGGGCTTTGTTAGGGAAACTAATTTTATTCTGCATTCTGGTCTCATACATAATCAACAACAACCCCAAAAAAAAACAAAAAGAAAGAAAAAAAACTAGAGTAAAAACAAGATTTTATTCAAATAACAGCTCTTAAACTTGTAGCAGTTAAAAACCTCTTTAGCAATCTAATAATATCTACAACCTCTCCCCAAATGTGTATGTTTACTAAAGTTTGCAAGAAATTTTATGTGATTCAATGACAATCAAACACTTCCATATAATCAGGTACCAATAAAAATCAGTTAATTATCACACAATAATGGTGTAATTTCAAAATACCCCTTACCAAAGTTGTTTACATACTTGCACCCCAGTAATATTAAAATTAATTATCTACCAACATGAAACTACCTATCAAATGCTTCTTTTGATGACTAGTAATATAAGAAATTAATTGATCAGATAAATCTTAAGGAGGGTTGAACAGTATGGAGAATAAAGACAGAATTGCAAAATACAACTCCAAAGTCACAGTCCTAAAGGTCTAATTCAAGTTTAACTTGTGACTGCCTAGGAAACATTAAAATTAATTTACTATGTCAGCCTTCACCTTACCTATCTTGAAATTACAGTGTTATGAAATATAAAACAATTTGTGACTAAAAATGAAAGAAGGAATTATTTACTTTACAAAGAATACTACTTTGTTTCTATTCTTTCTCCCCACTGCTTACCATTTACAAATGTTAGCTGATTGAAAAAAAAAAAAAAAAGATTTCAATTGCTGTAAAACTTGACTGCAGTGGCAAATTAATTCCAGCTCTGCTCTATACTAAATAGCAAACATCCCGAGGTTTCTTTTCTCTGTTCTTACTCTTCCCATTTAAACACAGTTGAAGCATTTTACTAGTGCAAAATGTGTGTTCTGGAGTCAAATATACCTGTTTCAGTCTGTCAGAAAATAACTAGCAACTTATGCTACCTTCTCTGAATCTCCATTAACATACCCTGTAACTCTTCAAAGACTAAGTCAGGAAGCATAAGTGCTTGACACATACTACTCAATGAACCTCAGTGTCTATAAGCACTTCCATAAATCAAGCTCCTATTGTTCATTATTTGTTGAAATGAATATATTTATTCAAAAAATACCGCTTACTTATTTTAGAAGGAATTAAGTGTTGACACACTCCTAATCTAGGTGTTTTAACAAAAATGGTAAAAATTTATTTTAAAGGGAGAACTGAAAATTAATTTTTAAAAATTATAATTACAAGTATTCATTGTGAAAGGTCTGGAAATAAACATGAAATTTTTTAAGTCAGTTAGTAATCCCATGACCACAGTGGCAGAAATAATGGTTGTAGTTCTTGGTTGTGGAATTACTGGGTTGTATCTTTTTTACTAGTCTTTTCAATATACATTTTCACACATTTTTTAGATACTTTACAAAAATGTGTATTTGTGTGAGTAGAAATGAACTTTGTTGGGGGAGGGGAGTGTGTATTCCATTTATTTTTTTCAAAAATGTGAATTAAATAACTGATTTGTTTCCCCCACACACACTTTTTTCACCTACTCAGATTTCATTTAGGACTTTAATTCTGCCTCACATGTACAGGTACATGTGCCTCATATAATAATAAGCTTAGATATAAAACAATGTCTTATTCATTCATTAGGAGAAAGGCAATAGATAAATCAACAAATAAATATGTTAGGAGGCCCTCAAACAGGCATGTGTTTGACATATTTTTATGTTCAAAGAATATGAAGAAGGCTGGAGCAGAGCAGGCAAGCAAAGAAAAAATGGAGAAAATTATGTTGGAGAAGTAGCTAAGATGTATACAGAGCAGTAAGAAAAAATTCTATTTTATTGGACTACATTAGAGAATGGGAGGAGAGGACAGGTTATGCAGACAACACTTTTGAAGGATTTTGTTACAAAGGTGGGCTGAACAATTGGGCCTCAGAAGAACATAGGGTTAAGGAAAGCTTTCTTTTTTGTTTTTTGAGCCCATCATTCCATTTCAATATATGAAAAATATTTACAGATATTATAGAAAGGACTGACTAGGTTAATGGTTAAGAGGATGGATTCAGGAACCCAAAATGCCTGGGCTGGAATCTTGACCCAAATAACTGTTTGACCTTGAGCAATCTCTCAGGCCTCAATTTCCTCATCTTCAAATTGCACATTATCTTACAGCCTTTTACAAGGAATAAATATAATACAATACAAAGTGCTTATGCCCCAATTTCTATGCCATACTCCATAGCAATTAAATCAGAATGTTTGAGTAGGATTCAGGTATTTTTTAAGGTTTCCCAGATGGTCCCAATGAACAACCAAATTTGAGAACTCATGTACTACCCAAAAAAAGAAGAATGAAAAAAAGAAGAATGAAAGCACCCAGTAAGGAAAACATGTGATTACTATTGTTGACAGAATGCTATTAGTATAGGATGAAGCAGAATGTTTTTCTTCTTCCTGGTACCTGGTACATCCAAGAAACCAGTAAGTATTCCTCTATAGAACTTCCTTAACAATTTTCAAGAATTTTTCCCTACAGCATTCATTTTGACTTTTAGCCACCTACAACCTTATCATTATTTAACAGTTTGGGTTTGTGTTTCTCTCTCTACAATATAAACCTCAAGGGAATAAAAATTCATTAAACATTGTTATCCACTAAGCAATTAATTTGTGAATCTTGGTCTTCCTAGCATGTTGCTTATCTCACCATGAATGAGCTATAGGTATACCAAGAAACTGATGTGTCAACTATTTGGACATTACCCAGTTGCCTCCAGCAGCTCTTCAGTTTCCCCAGGATACATTATAAATACTATCATTTCCTATGTATGCCTTAATGTAAAAAAACTGCTAAGAAGCACTCAATTACTATTTTGTGATTTAACAATCTCACAACCATCCTTGGATTAGGGATATTTTCCTCATTTTATAAATGCTTGAAATGTATAGCTATATGTCCATCATTTTACTATAAATGAACACTTAAGGCTCAAGAATTCAAATACTTTGAACTTTATCAAATCAATCAATGATCAGTTAATAAGGGTTGCAAATGCCAGGTTTTTGGTTTTTTTTTTTAAACCAAAAGCCACTAATACTCACTTAGGAGCAAAATAAATCAGAACTCCATAGTTCTTACTACATTTTTGCAAATGTTTAATGAATTCTTATAAATCTTTTTCTCTCACCCATGCAGCATGTATTCTGATACAAAGTGAAATTTTAATGAGAATCCAGGACATTCTGAATTATTTCCACTTTAGACTCTAACAATTGAACCAATTATAATTTATGCACACAGCATTTCCACATCATTAAGCACTACCTTTCAGTCATGAACTCCAAAGAATATTAACTGGTCTTAAAGCCACACATGTTAAAATGTTGGAATTGATCATTTCCTTATTTTTAAGGTTCCTTCTGTAGCAATGGCCCTGAATGGACTGAATGAACTGTAAAAGCACAAGTTACTGGTCCTACCACAAATTTTCTTAAGCAGTAATTCTTAACTAAACAATCTATATTTTAAAATTGGATGAGCAGCCAGGTTTCAGAATCTCACATCTGTGCAAAAGAGAAATACAACTTAACCCTGATTTCTAAATTTGAAATAGCTGCCATCTTACTAAAAGTTTCAATCCTCCAAGCCACAGTTCTGATACTTAGCATACATTAGAATCAGATGGAGTGCTTGCTAAACTTCTAAACTAAAAACTCTGGGGGTGGGACCAATATTCTAACAAGTCCCAAGGTGATGCTGATGCTGCTTGACTTGGAAATATACTCTCAGAACAATTGCTCAAAACTGACAAAACTGGGTTTCAATGCTTTTTTCTGAAATTTGCTCAGCCTGTGTCCTTAACCAAGTTATTGAAACTCTCTAGCCATCATTGGTAAAATGGTATTAAAAATCTCCTTTTTCTTGGCAGTACTTGAATTTTGAACTCAGGGTCTCGTTCAAGTGCTCTACCACTTGAGCTATGCTCCTGGCCCTTTTTTGCTTTAGTTATTTTTCACATAAAGTCTCATGCTTTTTTTTGCCCGGGCTGCACTGGACTTCAACTCTCTTACCTAACCATTCCTAGTAGCTGTATTATAGCTATAACCTACCAAAGCCTGAATTTCTGAGATATGGTCTCAATAACTTTTTTTTACCTGGGCAGGTCTGGAGCTATGATCCTCCTATCTCTGCCTTCCAAGTAGCTGGGATTACAGGTATGAGCCACTGTGCCTGGCTTCATATATTGTTTTGAAGATTAAATGACAGTGTAGATGTCACATGCATTTGTTAACACTCAGTAAATGTTACCTGTTTCTATATTTTGTTAACTGTTGTTATAAATAAGACAGAAATTTCTGACCCTAATTTAACTGCAAAGAACAAATAAAATACCTCAACTTATAATGTACCAACTTAGCTTCTAGCTAATGAAGCCACAGCAACTCCTCTGCCTCTGCTGCTACTAGAGACCTCATTACATCTTTTCCATTCTTACCACACTGCTTGAGACTAACATAAACACTACTGCCTGGAATACACAATCTTCCTTTTTATACCTTTACAGATCCTGGCCAGAGCTACCTAGTTCTTAAGATAACACTTTGGGTAATCCATCAGTTCTATGCAGTATTTCCTTAGCTGGGCTTAAAAATCTTTCCAAGCCATCACTGTATCCCCTCACATAGATTCCCCCCTCAAAAAAAAAAAATCAAAGGAAATGGGAGCTCCAGTTCCTGCTACTCAACCTGAACACAGACACATAACCAGTTTTCCTGAAATAAAGCATTCTCCAGTAGAAACATTGCTATAAATGGATAAATTCCATGGCACTAATAAGTTACACAAGAGGGTATAAATACACTTTTGCAGGCTGGCAAAGGCAAATTAGCATCATTTATAAGATTATTTAAAATAAGCCTATTCCAAGTGCTACACAAACTTCACAATGATTTTTCTTCTTCAAGTATTTAGACAATACTTTTTTTGCTAAGCCCACACTTCTTGTGTCTGGAATTCAATGCTCACCTTGGACGTTCCTATTCCTCTTTAAATAACCAACTGGAAGGCTTTAAGACATGCTTTCCTGAAAATTATCATGCCTTTGTCAGGCCCCGAATACACATTGGAACCCTGTCCCATCCTCTATGCTCCACAGTATTTTTAGATCTATCATAATTATCTGTTTCCATCAGAGCTGGGCTTTTTCCTCCCCCTTTTTTTTTTTGTTACAAGAAATTTTAAATATTCAGAAAGGTTTAAACAGTTCACTAAACATCTATATGCCCACCATTAGACTCAGAATGGCAAATATTTTGCCATATATACCTTTATTTATATGCACATATACATGCATTTGCTGTACATTTAAAGTAACTCATAGGCACCAATATGTCATATCTAAATATTATTAGTATCCATCTCCAGAACATAAGTACATCCTCCCACATAACCACAATACCATTTCCACCTAAGAAAATAGTTACATAACCTTACCTGCATGTAGTTGCATTGAAATTGTTGGAGAACAAAGGCTTCATCTATACATTCCCAGTATTTAACCTGGCACACAGCACTTCTTTGGGTGATCAATCAATGTTGTACCAACTGTCCAATTTAATACTCTCCCAACTATTTTACAAGTCACATGAATTTAAAATTTAAGTGCAACTCTGAACCTTCTGCAATCAGTTTAATTGCTTGCTTAAAATAAGCCTGTGCTGCAGTAAGTGGTTGAGATTCTGAACTACTTAGTTCTGTATCACAGTACTTAAATTCTAGGAAGGCAGAGGTTATGTCTGTCTAACATAAGGAGGCACATTCAATTTTTTTAATGAATGAAAGAATATTTTTTAGCCACTGAAACTGTTAGTGAAGAAATTGTAATCATGGAAAAATAAGGGTAGGACAATAAAGATTTCTGGCGTCAGATCAGGTTTCTAGTACAGATTCAAAAGTTTACTACTGGCAAAAGTTTATTAGGACGAGTTACTTGACTATTTCTCCCTCTGAAAAATGAGGCTAATAATCTAATATAGATCTCATGGAATTGCTGAGAGAAACCATGCGACATATATTAGATTATTAGTACTCTCAGGAGTAACTGGCACCGTGACCCATGAATGAGAGCTATCTTCGTTGAGAATAAAGCAACTGGCACAGTGACTCATCGATGGCAGCTATCTTCATTATTTTATCTGTCTGAAAATACAAACTATTTCAGCGATGACTTTGTAGCAGCAAAACCGGTGTAGCGCTCAGAAGCTTGGTGCTAAAAGCAGCCATTCTTCCTCCTCCTAAGGCTAAGCCTCCCAGCAGGTTAAAGCAAGATAACTATTACCTACAGGACTCCAGGGTGGCCAATCCCGGGAAGTTGTCCAGCACTTGGGAGCGCGGTGCAAAGGTCGGCGCGAGGATGCAACCCCATGCAATCTCCAACAACGCGCGGGGCTTTTGTCCTTTCCAAGTGGGCGTGGAAGCCAGAACACGCCGCGGGACGAGGACTAAGGGATGGAAATTAAAACCGCCACCTCCACCCTCGCAGTCCCCAAGTCGGGGTGGCAGGAGGAGACGCAGCTCGAAAGCGTTCCTTCTCGCCGAGCTGCAATTTCTGGTGTAACAAACCCCAGCACAAGAAGAACAATCGATAAGGAAGGAAGAAGAGGAACCAGGGCGCGAAAGGACCGACCCCGGGACCGAGCTGTCACCGCTCAAGCAGCACGTGTCTGGAGCCCGCAAAGCTCAGTCCGGGACAAAGACAATAATGCCCGGCGGCGGCTTCAGCTCTCCACCGACTCCGGGCCTCACCTGCCACGGCTGCGGTCGTCACGCGAGCTGTTGGGGATGGCCGAGCCCATCCAGATTCGGGTTCTCCTCTCTTTAATTCCGAGAACCGGGATGAGGTGTTTGTCAAGAGACTGCAGTTGTAGCCGCAAGCGAGGGCTTTCTCCCTTCAGTGGCGGCTGGACAGCCACATGAAGGTACCTCGGGCGTTACTACACCTCAGGAGCGGCGGGCACGCCTCTTGCCCCGCCCGCCTTGGGTCTCTCACGGAAAAGCCACCGTCTGGAACAATTTCCGGTAATAGCAACAAGGATCAGCCCTCATCTTTCCTAAGCAAGGTTCCACAGCCCACAGGAGGCCTCCCTACTTAACGGCCCGGGTAGTTCCGTTTCCGGCAGCACCAGATAAATCGCGAAAGGAGACTCAAATCCTGTTGTTTGCATTTGGGACCACTTCGGTGAGTGGTCCTTCTGGTGTGCTTTGTTATCGGTACTGCTCTTTTGAGTGAGGTGTAATCTGACAATAATTTCAAAAAAATTCCTTTTGACTGGCCTAAGAAAGTGTGGGGATTTTGCGCAGGCGCCGTTAGGGCGGGAGGGCCTGAGCGTTGCGACATCCCGCGCGAGGGAGTGCGAGTGCGGTGGCGGGGTTCGGGGAGGAACGGCGGGTGTGACCGCTGCTGATGAGTTTAGCTGGACTTTGCCTAAAAACAAAAAACAGTGGTGAAAACGCTCAGGAAACGCTTCCTGCGGGTTAGGTAGCGTTGGAAACGCTGAGCACTGGAGTGAACTCAATGCCAGGGATGTTTGACGACGTTAGAGAATGCTCACCCTTTATAATGGTTGTCATTTAATCTGAAAATGTGGCCCAGATCTTTTCCGGAGGGAGAAACGTAAGCTCTTTGCACGTGTTTTCAAAGGGAAGGTATACATTTTATCTGCTTTACGTTGGCATTTCTGAACCAAAGTAGAGAAGTTTCAAAATGAAGATGATTTTATCTGTTTGAAATGAAGATGAGTTTATGTATCATGTGGTTAAAAGCACTTCTTGCTGAATGAATTTGCACACTTAAATAGATGAGGAAGAGTTGCTTGGTGTCTTCATTTCCCAGTCTATGAAAAACTGAGCTGGTCCATTTGTTAGAAATGTAAACAGAATAATTCAAAAGTCAGGATTCTGATCCGCAGTTAACGTGTTTATTGAAACATTGCAAGTTTAACATTTTTCAGTTGGAATACAAGCTTACTGTAAGTTTTCAGAGGCTGAAGTTGGCAGCTTGGTGGGTTTTACCCTTGGTGAAACACACCTCTTAACTTTATTTAAAGTGATAGTTAGCTTTATTGGGCACACACGATACCACTTGTCAAAGGAATTGAGCAATAAGAACCCACCCAAGTATTTGTTGATTTTATTTGATGTTGTACAGGATATAGTGTGAAAAGATCAACCAGATATCCTAACGTTCCTCTTGCAAAACCAGAAGTTGTGATCAGCCACCTTCTCCACCTTTTCTACTTCCTAAAGGCTTGAAAATAGGAGCATATCCGGTGAAACCCGAAAATAATCTCCACTTATGTAATTCAAACCTCTTAGTTCTCTTTTGTCTTAGTTCCCTTTTGTTTGTCCAGAATATTACAGTTTAAAACTATTTTCTCATATTAGCTGTTTCTGTAATAGATGGCTTGTAAGGAGCAGATGGTAAATAGAAAAGAAAAAAAAAAAACTACTGGTTCCTTAAGTTAATACTAGTAACAGCACTTTTAACCATTCACTTTAAAAAAAGATGCTTTCTGTGGTCTGAGTTTTCTTCTTATTTAGTTTCTGTTTTTCCTTGTCATCTGTCTGTACCCTCGGAATCGGCAGTGTGTAAACTACATTAAACTATATTGTCATTATAAAATATACACCTCCTGCATCTTCTGAGTTTTGCTATAGCTGTAAAAATGGCTCTAAAATAGTAACCACCATTAATGCAAGCGATTTAAAAAATCTATTTCCTTACAAAGATTTTGAGAAAGGATTTTCTGTTATTTCAAACAATCTGATATAAATGATAAGTTATAATACTTATATATTAGTATAGTATTTGTAAAGGACTTTTCAAATTATCTCATTAGTCCTCAGAATTGTGAAAAACAAGGGATAGTTATTATGTTCTTTTTCCAAACATGGATACTGAGGTCTGCCTAAATGTCACACATCTGAAATTTCTTTTTCTTTTGTTTGTTTCTGGCAAACATCTGATATTCTTACTCCTCACAGTCCCCACCTTCCTAGGCACACCCTACCTATAATGCATACGTAGTCCCACCAACACTGCACTGCCTTTTTGGTGTTACTTAGTATTCTTCGGTTTTTGTTTTATCTTTGTTGTTTTATGGTGGTATCCTTTGTGACTTTATTTAGCATTTTTCATTGTCTAATGATGTTGAGCATTTTTCAGTTATTTATTTACTTAACCATATCTCTTTGCCTGTGTGGTTTTTTTTTTTTCTTTTTTTCTTTTTTTTTTTTTGTGACTCTGGAGTTTGACCTTAGGACATTCTACCACTTGAGCCACGCCCCCAGCACTTTTTTGCTTTAGTTTGTTTCTGCATTGAGTCTCCTGCTTTTGCCTGTGTTGCCTCAGGTTGCAGTCTTCCTATTTCTGCCTACCAATAGCTGGGATTTACATATGGTAAGGCATATGAATTGAAATTCATCTTTTCTCATGGATGTTTAGTTGTTCCAGATTTATTAAAAACATTCTTCATTCAATTACTTTGGTGCCTTTGTTGGAAATCAGTTTACTATATTTGACTACTTCTGGACACTATTCTGTTCTGATCAATGGCTATCATTTTGCCAATACTACACAGTCTTGATTATCATAGCATTTAGGAAGTCTTAAAATCAACTAGTGTGAAATTCCTTACATTCATTTTTCAAAGTTGTTTTACCTGTTCTAAGTCCTTTGATTTTCCTTATCGACTTTAGAATCAGCTTATCAGTTTCTACAAAAGAGCTTTGTGTTTCTTATTTCAGTTCCATCGAATCTATAAATAAATTCGGGGGGGGGGGGAACTGGCAACTTACTGTTATTACTTATTTTTCCTCATTGTTAGGATGTGAGTAACTGTACAGCTTTCTACATTCTAGACAAAAACCTTTGTAGGAATTTTTAATGGTATTTCGGAAAGAGAAATTTAGTTTCCTTTTTGTTCATTGCAATGTTATTATCGGGAGAGATTGCAAGACTAATCCTTGGTGAATTGGTTGCTATCGCCTACTGCCCTCTAAAGAGCCATCAGTCATATAATTTTCCTTTCTGTGTCCAATGGTCTTTAGAAACCCTTTCCTTAAAATTAAATTTTTTGAGTTTTCCCTCCCTGAAAGCCAAACAATCTGTCTTTAAATTTTTTATATTTTCAAAAATTATAATAAAATACACATGATATGAAATCTACCATCTTAATGATTTTAAGTATAAACTTCATCAGTGACAGTAACTACGTTCATATTCATGTGTAGCTATCACCACTCATCCATCTCCAGAATTCTTTTCACCTTATATAAATGAAACACTGTTCCCATTAGGCAATAATTTCCCTATTCCGTTCCCTCCTGCCCCTCAAGTCACTGGAAACTATTCTACTTCTGTCTCTCTGAATCGGACAGTATTTATCATTTTAAGACTTTTAAATTTCACTTAGCATAATGTTCTTGATTCATCCATAGAATCTGCTCCCTTTTTAAGGCTGCATAATATTTCACTATGTATAGACCATGTGTTTATCCATTTATCTGTCATTGGACACTTTAGCTCCTACCTTTTAGCTATTGTGAACAGTACTATGAATGTGGCCATCAAACAATTGTTGACTCCTTACTTGAACATAAACTCTCTGAAGATAAAGAGGATATACTCCAGTGTTGTGTCTCCCATATAGCAGGTGCTCCATAGTTTTTTGGTTTTTTTTTTTTTTTTTTTTGGGTCAATGAGAGAACATCAGATCTCTCTCTAACAACTGTCTTGTAGCTAAGATGCAGGTTAACTGAAACCACTTTCTCCGTGTCTACTCATTCCGTATTTCACTGCAGTCTGCTTTCCACCTGCCCCTCTCTATTTGACTATCACCAGCATCATCGGATACATTTTCATTCTTTATCACTTACCCTCTCCTAAGAGGAGAGAAGGCTGTAAATGCCAGGTATATACAGTGTAAGCTAGTCCTTCATTAGGTATGTAGTAAGCCTGTTATTCCTGAATTTATTCCATGAATTTCTGACCAAGAGCAGTTGAGCCAGAAAAGCTCTCAGTCCTGTGTTCCTATCAGTTGTGTTTAAATTCTGTGCTTCCCAAGCATTCATTTGCTGTTTTTTCCTCAGTGCTGATCTCTTTGTAAACAAGTATCTGCGGATACTAAGGATCTACTGTATTTATTCAAGATTTCAAGGTGTCTTCTCCCAGTCTGTGGCATAACTTTTCATTTTCTTTTTTAGTGGAAAGTACTGGGGTTAAAATCAGGACCTTCCCCTTACCAGGCATGTGCTCTACCACTTGCGCCATGCCCCCAGCCCTAACCTTTTCACTTTCTTAATGGTTTCTTCTGATGAACAGAAGGCTTTATTTTGATAATGTCCTATTACAATTTTTCTTTTATAGATAGTGTTTTGTGTGTGTGTGTGTGTGTGTGTGTGTTCTGCTTAAGAAATATTTGCTTACCCCCAAAGCTTTGAAGTTTTTTTTTTTCCTCCCGGAAGTTTTGTCATTTGTCTTTCACATTTGTGATTCATCTGGAATTAATTCTTCTAGAAGCTCTGCAGTAGGCAATTGAGGTTTATTTTTTGCTTATCCATTTGTTCCAGCTTATTTATTGTAAAGACCCTATCTTCCTCCACTGTATTGAAGTCTTTACTGTAAATTGGCATGTATATATGGATGTATTGCTGGGCCCCTGTTCTGTTCCAGTGATGTATTTGGCTATTTTTTTTTAATTGAGAAAGAATTGAAATATTTATTTCACATGTGAAAATTGTGTTAGCATATGTTAATTGTACAAAGTACAGGAATTTCATTATGGCATATTCATAGCTGTGTACAATATACTTTTTAAAATGCCAATACTATACTCTCTTGTTTACCTTGTTTTCATAAAATGTTTTAATCTAAGGGCTTGGTACATTCCTGTACATTTTGCACAGGTGGTACATTCCTGTGGTACCACCTACTCGGGGTAGAGTTTGAGACCAGCCTGGGCAAAAAGTTAAGGGGAGAGACCTAATCTCAACAAGTAAACTGGGCATGATGGCAATGTACCTGTAATCCTAGTAGGTGAGATGCATAAACCACCATCCATTCATTTTTGAGATATTTTAGAAACTGTATTTGTTTGATTATAAAATGAAGTATTACATTTATGTAATTGAAAATTAATTAAGGCTGGGTGTGGTGGTACATGCCTGTAATCCCAGCATTCAGGAGGGAAGGACAGGATCATGAACAGTTCCAGGGCTGCTGGGCTACATTGTGAGACCCTGTCTCAAAATGGAGGGAGGTGGAGAAGGAAGGAGAAAAGAAGGTTAGGAAAAACTAATTGATCATACTTTATAGAGAAAATTATCTGTTTTTTAGTTTATTAATGGGACTGTCTTAGCATTGTAGAAGCTTTACTTTTAAAGTGGTTTACACTTTATGCTAATCTAAGATTAAAGGATGTTACATGTGCACTGGTATTATCTCTGGGATTTTTACATAGATCAGAAGGTGGTTATTGAATGTTCAATGAATTGTATCATAGAGAAATAGATTTGATAGACCATCTAAGCCATGGTTCATAGCATTGTCTCTAGTGATCAGTAAACATTCATATTGTTTTTAAAATTTTAAAATTATTAGCATCAGTCATAGTCCTATTAGGAACCAGAAAATATACTCTCCTGATATTAAAAAAAAATTAATGACGCTTCTATTTTTGGAGGTATGGATAATGAAAGAAGCCTGGAGATTAGCAGCAGCAGGAAATGCTTGCCACCTCTAGGGCTGAAGTGTCAAGGAGAAGAAATGATGTTGATTTCCAGTGAGAACTAGACAGGGAAGAGAGGCTCCCTAGAGGAGTTTTGTGTAAAGGGTTGCAACTTTATCTAGTGAAAGAGCCGGGAAATAAATGTCCTCACCTCTTTCTTCTGCATTCTGATTTGCCTTGCCAGCACTTCCTGTTGAACAATCTAATCAGAAAACTAAGTGCAGTCTGCAGGATCAGTCTTCAAGGCTACAATAGCCTAGCGAGAAAGGCCAAAGATAAATATGGAGGGTTGAGTGATGGTAAACAGATACCAACACAGAATAGTTCCTTTCCGCTGTAAATATGAAATTAAAAAGTTTTTTTTAAAGGTTCCCAATATTTCTGATACTCTATAATAGAAAAAAGTTTTGTTTTGTTTTTGCCTTTCAGCTAAATTTTTCTTCACAGTGTTGACAAAATATACGCAGGATCAAAAATCATTTTGTTCAAGAAAAGCTAGTTTACATGTAGTGCAGAATAAGGTGTGAGTCAAGCTGTTAAATATCTTCTCTATCATCTATCATTTGAATATGTACAAAATATATCTAACATATTTGAGTAGGGCTTTTCTTGTACTTTGCAATGATTGTAAAATATTTAGAAGTAATACAAAATTATTTTTTCTCTCTTTATGACCTATTTATTTAAATGTCACATAACAGAATCAACCTACGTTAGTAATATTTCAGTTAATGTCAGTGAGACTTTAAGCAAACTTTTGAAGTGTACTTGGTCATTTCCTTTTTTTGTTTCCAGTGTGTAGAAGATGAAAGGGGATAAGATAATTTGTCATGATGTATCTCAAAAATAGCACTTGAAAATTTTAATTCCTGTGCATCACTGTTTCTTTTCTGTAGTGCGGTTATCTCCCTCTCTGATAATATTCTGGGAATGCTCAATTCATACATAAATAGAAATGTGACAGAAGCCTGAACTGAAATAGCAGTGATTTATCTTGTCACTTAAGTAATGTCTTTAAATACCTTAGGTTCCCAATGGTTCGTAGTGGAAAAAATGGTGACCTTCATCTTAAACAGATTGCATATTATAAGCGAACAGGTGAGTATCATCCAACTACTCTGCCAAGTGAGAGAAGTGGCATAAGAAGAGCAGCAAAAAAGTTTGTCTTCAAAGGTAAAAATTAATGTTCAGTATCTTGAGTAATAACACATTGTTCTCCACCTGTGTTCTTTGTGGGAACCTAAGAATTTCTATCTTACTGGTTCTTGCTAAGCAATTATCAGTTAAATTGATGATGCTATTCAGTCAAAAGCAAAATAAAAATTACTGAAGGCCAGTAAACATGAAAAGGGCCTTTTAAATTACAGACCAAAAGAGATACCATGAAAAAAAAATTACCTAAATAAACTTCCCCTGCTTTTACCCTTCACTGATTCTTATTCAGGCGGTGCACTCAAGCAGATGCCATCCTCAGTGAGGAGCTTATCTGATGCTTGGTATGAAAATGTTAGTAAAGTTCACTACTTTGTTTACTAAAATAAAAAACAGAATAAACTATTCATTTCTGTTGCTCCTCCCTCCCTCTACCATTAAATATTCTTAGAATTGCATTTATTTTTGGATTCTGACTCCCCTGAATTGAATAAATATTTGAAAGGCAGTGGGATATTTACTTGAAAACTCATAACAGTTTTTCGCTCTCTCCCCTCCTTCCTTCAAAGGGAAAGAGAAATGAGTTAAACAGAAAGTATAGTGGGCAAATAAGTATATGAATGTTTGTGCTGTTAATGGGACTTTTGTCTGTAGTTACAGAATTAGGCTTTTCCCAAAATAGGTCAAGAAAATTGATAATGATGTATCTCAAAAATAGCATTCAAATATTTTAATTCATACATACCACTCTGTTCCTGATCATTTCTCCCTGTCTACAACCTTACCAATAACTTCTTATACTTAAGAACATGCAGACCCATTACCTCTTAGACTAAACAGAGGAGTCATTCATTTATTTAATCATTTACATAAAATATGTTAACTGAATTCCTACTGTGTGCCAATCACACTGTAAGTCTTAAAGGTATATTGATGAGTTAAATAGACAGGACTCCTGTCCTCAGGTTGCTTACCTTATAATTTAAGTAAGGAATGTTCTACTCAGCACATGCTTAAGCACATTAGTGTCTTAGTGGTATAGTCTAGAGTTTGAATAGCTATGCCATCCACACTGGAGAAGCAATGCTTCTTCCTATCCCCTGGTTGCTTCCTAGCTGCAGATTTTTTAGTATCCTCTTAAGGAAAACAGAATTTGAGGATTAAGTTTCTCCTACTGTTTCTCAAGTCTAGAGAGATGCTTGCTTATTAAAAAAAAATGTAGTTATGAAATATTTGGAAAATTCTGTTCCAGGAAGTTGTTCCAGGAATTATGAATGTACATAATTCACTTGTTATGCGATTTTTAGGAATCATCTGCAAGTATTTTCTTAGTTGGAGTACTCCTGTAGAATGATAATTTCCTAGTCCCATAGTTACCACATGCTTTAGTGAATAGGCTAGCTCTTCTTGTATTAATAGCTACAAAATTTTAGCAGCTAGTGCTCCTCCTAGATATCTAGTAAGTATAGTAGCTGAGGACCTTACAGATTGCATGGTAGCAAGTTTTAAATAGTTTTTAAAAGTTTTAAATAGTTTTAAATTGAGAAAGACTTTGTAAAAGTAAAATTTTAAATCCTCATGGTTTGAAGGTAAGGTTGTGATTATTACAGCTGTATTTTCTGATATCATTTATTTCAGAAAAAAAGCTATTTTATGTTGGAAAAGAAAGAAAACAAAATCGTTTGGTAATTGTTTCAGAAGAGGAAAAAAAGAAAGCACTACGAGAATGCCATGAAAATGACACTGGAGTTCATCATGGCATATCCAGAACACTCACTCTAGTAGAATCCAATTACTATTGGACTTCAGTGACCAATGATGTCAAACAGTGGGTATGGCTTTTATATGTAGAATATTTTGAATAATGTTTTTCTAATAAATGTTCAAAATTCATTCTTGCTCCAAATTTACTCTGGGTATCATCTTTCATTAGGTGCTTTTAATACAGTTTTTGGTACAAAAAGCTTCTAAATTAAAGGGGGGTTATATCGCTTCATCATTTTTGTATAACTAAAGTATAATTTGACCTAGAAAAAGTATTACATAAACATTTGAAAATACCACATTTAGAAAGATACTTTAGAACTAGATTTTCATCACTGAACTCCTTTTTTTAGTCAGACTGTAATTGAGACTGGAATCCCTTTGACTAAACCTCTTTAATGCCAGTCACATGGAACTTTCTCTATGGAAGAGAATAAAACTGTTCATAATAGTCAAACCCAGTGTGGGCTGTCAGATTTTGTGCCTGTTCCATCTTTAGATAGAAGATGTCAAATATAGGGCTGGTAGAATGGCTCAGGTGGTAGAGCACTTGCCTAGCAAGTGTGAGACCCTGAGTTCAAACCCCAGAACTGCCAAAAAAAAAAAAGAAATGTCAAACATAATGGTTGGGGACATGACTGACTCCTCAGTGGTAGAGTGCTTGCCTAGCAAGCAAAGGTCCTAAATTCAAACTCCAGTACCACTCAAAAGAAGGAAGGAAAGATGAAGGAAAGAGAGAGAGGAAGGGGAGGAGGGAGGAAAAACTCAAACCTGGCAGAAACCCCAAAACTTAAATTTTCCTTGCATTCCTTTATGACATTTAGTGAAATCTTTGTCAAATCTTTATCATTTTGGAATGGATATGATTTTTTGAAATAATGTTATTTGTGATTACATTTGATAAATTATTTGAAAAATGAAAAATTTGCTCAAAACTTAACTATAAGATGTTATTTAAAATTTTCAAGTTTTTCTTCAGAAGTTAGTTTTAAAGTAGTTTCCAAAGTGAAATTTCATAATTATATTGAGAAATGGCACCATCTATACCTTGGTTAATTTATCTCTTCTCACTTCACTCAAATGAAAGTTACGTGATAGCATGGAGTTCATTTTTGTTCCCCCCTTCCCAGGACCTAAAAAAATGTCTGGCTTAAAAATATTGTTTGATTGAAATTATACTCCATAAAATAGCAATGGAATAAATAAATGAATGAGCTTTACTTATAAAGTTGTGAGTAATAACTTTATAAGGAAATAGCTTTTATATAAAAGAATTACTATATACTCACACTGGTTTAAAATAGAAAATGAAACATCAGATGGTGCCCCATAAATATGTCCATTTTTGTTGCTTTACAATAATAGCTTACTTTACTATTTATTTAATAAATATTTATTGAATGTGAACCAGAATTACATTCCATGTGAATAAGACCCCATAAGATAGTTATTTAGTAGAAATAGCAACTAATATTTGCCTGTTGTTTTTAATAAAAAGCTTAACCCATGATGTTCTTAGTTCAAAAGTTTCTTCAGTAGACAAAGTACCTATTAAGCATTTAAATATTCTTATTTATAAGACTGCTTTATATGGAGTATTTTAACATTTGTCTGTATTTTCTTTATTATTTGCCTCTTTATAGGTATATGCTTGTCAACATTGCCAAGTGGCAAAAAATACAGTTATTCTAGCACCTAAACAGCACCTTCTCAAGGTGGAAAATCCATGGAGTATAGTTACTGTTGATCTGATGGGACCTTTTCATACAAGCAACAGAAGTCATGTATATGCTATAATCGTGACAGATTTGTTCACAAAGTGGGTCACAATTTTACCTCTACATGCTATTTCAGTATCAGAAATTTCTAAAGCCATTATCAATGTATTTTTTTTATATGGGCCTCCTCAGAAAATAATAATGGACCAAAGAGATGAATTCATTCAGCAGGTAAGACAAACTGCTTAGTCTGGGAGCAAATATGACAACCTCTCAGAGTTCAGCACACAGTGCCCTGTGCATTATAGGGTACTATAATAGATTCAGATAAATTGCTATAGGTATAGAGGTGTATAACATATAAGGGTAGTTGGACTGGAAATTAGACTAGGTTTTAATACTTCTGTGCTACTAAGTAATTTGGGTGTCCTCAAACTAAAACGAGAAGGTTGATCCAAATAGTATTTGTTCACTTATAGCTTAAAACTTTTATAATTGGCAGATAAAAAGGTCTTAACTAAATGCAAAAATACTTCCTGTTCACAAATGAGACTATTCAATATTTGAAAATATTTTTCCCTTGCCCTGTCCTTTTCCAGATTAAAGTTAAACTGAAGGAATAAGCACACAAGAATAATATATGAAAAGTCTAAAAAAATGTAGCATGTCTTTAAGACATATTTAAGAATTTTATAATTGACAGGGTACTATATAAGAATGATCAGATAATCAGATTTTCTTGGTCCATAGTAATTTTGATGTCTCTGTTCTAGAGAAATACCTAAAGTTATTAAGACTTGTGTTAGGGGTCCCTATGACTGTCCTCTGGTTCCATGATTCATTAAGAGGACACACATGTAATCATACTCAATGGCTAAGATTTGCTAGTGAAAAGATACAAAGCAGAATCACAAAGACAAAAGGTATATGGGTAGAAATCCAGAAAAAAATCAAATGCAAGCTTCTAGTGGAGTTACACAGAACATGCTTAATTTCACCAGTGGTGAATTACTCCAACCATGTGAAATGTTGCCTACCAAGGAAACTCATTAGAAACTCACTACCTGTGGTTTTTGTTGGGGGTCTGTTCACACAAGCACCCTCTGCCTAACATGTACTAAAATCCCAGACTCTTAGAAGGAAAAGTGTTTAGTATAGGCAGCATTATTTATATAAACTGTTAGCTACCCTTATTAGTTAGAGAATGGTTGGAAATGCCAGTGGTTGAAAGAAACCATAATGTTCTTTAAGGTCTTTAACACCAGCCAAGGGCCACTCTCATAATTAGGCCCTTCAAAGGGTAGCAGTTTCAGACCTGTTATGTCAGCTCTTACCTGCACAGGTCCATCCAAATAACTTAACACATTTACATCCTAACCAATTTAGTAGCTATTTCAAAATATAATAGTTTGGGTCAGGAGTGTAGCTCAGTTTTAAAGCACATATTTAGGATATGTGAAGTCCTGGGTTTGTTCAATCCCCAGCACCAAATAAAGAAATAAAATATACCTATATGTGTGTCATAAGTGGAAAAAAAAGTGTCTTTCATTGTTAAATAACCGTTTTCTTGCTCTTAAGTACTTGTTGACCGTTGTTTAACTTCTCAAACCTTGGTATCATATTGAAACTACCATCATTTCCTGTTTCACATTGATTTTTGCATAGTAATTTTTCACAGCATCTCAACTACCAATTTTGAAAAATATGACATCAAAAGAATGACTTGATATAATATTGAGACAGTGAGCTACACTAAACTAGTAGTTTTCATGGAGTACATCAGTTAACGGCATCTTGACAGAGTTTGTAATTGGTCGAAATGATAAAATGGTGTCACGAGTGAGTGGAGTAAGGAAGGGTTATGTAATAAGCTACCAGTTTAGTAACAATTTGAAATTACTTCTGCAATATGGTTTTAGAATTAAATATAGCAAAATTATTTTCAGGTAAATTTAAGCAAATCCAGTGGAAAAGTGCTAAACAAACTAATAAATTTAGTCGAAAGCATAATTTTCAATAGGGAATAAAAATTATAAACATGGAGAAAATGTTCAAACCCAATAGTAATATAATACATGATGATGCTTTTATATATTAAAAAAAAAATAGGAGTAATACCAACAGACTAAGTAGAATAATCCGACCTTAAATTGCTGGTAGCATCACAACTTGAAACTGTTTTGTAAAGCAGTTTGCCAAAGGTCTGTGAAAAGCCCTAAATATAATTTGTTCTTTAGTTAACAATCCTTTTTAAAGAATTTACTCTAATTAAATAATCCAAATTCAGAAATAGCTCTTGGGCCAAGGGTGTAGCACAGTGGTAGAATGCTTACCTAGCATGCTTGAGGCCTTGATTTTGATTCCTAGCACCAGAAGAAGAAAAAACAGCTGTTTTATAATATTTACCACAGCACTGTTTATATTTGTGAGAGACGGAAAACATCCTAAATATCCAAAAAATGTGTTTCAGAAAAATGTCTAGCCACATAATGCAATATTTTAATGTAGCCATAATGAAATTTACAAAGAAACAAATACATATATTAATATATATTTTAAAGCAGACATTAAAAATGATATTAACAAAGAAAAATGATAGAACGTGCTTATATAATGTTAAAATAAAAAATCCAGGAAAAGAATTTATTACGTGTACATATATATTTATGTAGATAACTAAAAGATAGGTATAAAAAACTAAAATCTAAAGTTAATTGGAGATTTTTCCATTTTTTTTGTGGTATGAAGTTTGAACTCAGGGCCTTGTGCTTGCTAGGTAAGTGTTCTACCACTTAAGCCAAGCATCCAGTCAATTCAAGTTATTTTTAATTTTAGAGTGATGGGATTACAGATTTCTTAATTTATTAGTTTATAGGAAGTATAATTATATTGCTTTTATAATTTCTAATGATTAACATATAGAATCAAAAATTGCATTTGTGATTTAAAAAGTTACTAAAGTTTAGTTCTTTCCCTCCAAATGTGGAAGCCTGTCTAACCTCTTACAGGTGGGAAAGCTCAAGTAAATACTTTTGGCCAAAGAAATGAAGTAGATGACTATGTGTTACTTTTAGCCAGAAGCAGTAAAAGCCTCATCTTTAATTCCTTTATCTCCCAGTCTTATCTTTCTTTGAACAATTGATTAATATTCCAGATACTACACTCTAGATTGGTAACACTTTTCTCATTGGAGATGGGTGATTAAGTTACTTAATGGAAAATATCTGCCTTGTAAAGACACCCAGACCGCTGACCAGTTTTGCACTAGTACTAAGTAAGACTTTGCTGTTAAGCCATCCACCAAGACATGCAAGTGTTTTTATAATTGCAGCATAACTTTGCCTACCTAGATTGATACAGCAGTGGTCTGTGTAACAGAATATGTAAGACAATACATTTTTGGGAAAGACTAGTAGAACTACTTTTTTAATCTTAAAAAAAAATTAGAACAATATACAATATGGGAAGTTTATTATACAGTTGGATAGAAATAGAGATATTTCTAACAGCATAGGGTATTTGCTAGAATTATTTCAATACAAAGAATAAAGGATTATTTGTAGTCCTATAAAGAAAAGAGAATAAACATTTCAATGAGAAAATTTCTTTAATTTTTAAAAAACATGGAAAATTAAAATTACAATGATGGAAAATCTAGTTTGATAGTGGGGGAAAAGGCTGTTGGAGATAAAGATATTAAGATAGTCTTTCTCAGATGGATTCACTCAATCATTTCTAGGCAACCTCTTGAAAGAAAAAAGTTAAAGCCTTTTCCATGAGTCATTTAAAAGCATTGAGCAAGACCTCAGATTAAAGTTGACTCCATTGATACTTACTCTGGAATTTCTTTCTAACTACTTTTGAATTAAAAGGCAGCTTGAATTAGTACATATATTGGTGAGGAATTGTGTGTTCAGGTACAAATAACGCTCCTCTCCTTTCCCAATGTATAAATAAAAAATTATGTGTAAATTTTGGGGTTTATTTTATTCTCAAGTAAAAGAAGTCCAGGTAGAATGGTAGCCATGAACACCATGGGAACTAATGCTCCTAGCTTTTATTTCCATGATCTTTAGGATTTAACACTCAATCTTGTGCTAACAATATGGCTGTCAAAGCCCACATCACAGTGTCTATGTTATAGTCAGAAAGGAAACGACAATGAAGTCATGTCCTTTCCAAAAAATCATGCTGAGTTCATGCAACACCTTTAACCTATATCTTTTTCTCCCATAACTCAATCACTCCTACCTTCCAGGGAGCTTGGAAAATACAGTTTTGTTTTTGTTAGCTTTACCTTTTTTAGTTATTCTACTAATACTAGTCTGAAATAACTCTTCTTCTAAAAAATGTGTCAAAAATAATAATAATTGGAAAAAGAGTAATTTTACACTTGACAGACTCACCGTTACAAGTTTTCTAAACCTAATTTTAAATTCTTTAATACTCTGCACATAGTAATTGTAGTAATAATAATAGTACCAGTTAAAAGTTATAAAATGCTACTTGACGAGTACTGTTTTAAATATTTTACAAACATAAACATTTAATCCTCAAAAGAGTTATGGGTAAGATTTTCTTCATTTTATAGATGCATACAGAGGTTCAGTCACACATTAGTGACCTGGATTATGCAACCTAGTATTTGTTTTTGTTTAAGAGACTGCTGAATTACAAAATTACTGGAACACAGAGGTAATGTTAACTTCTGTCTTTCCATTTCCTTATTGTATGTGTGTATTTGATGAGGCACCTAATCTCCAAAGCTTCAGCTTTTCGTTTTTAAAACAGAGTTAATAGTACCTCTTAAAACCACCATTAAGTTTTTTTTCTTCACCACAAAGTTTAACGATAATAAGGTAAAGCATCCAGTGTGTTGACCAGCACATAGTAAGGACTCAATCAGTAGTAACTATTATAACAAATTATGGATTTTTTTAAATGGATGTAGTCAGTTAAAAAAGATTCGAGTTCTTTCAAAGCTTTTTTTTTTAATTAATGGAAAAATACAAATTTTAAAAAGTCATTTTGTATTTTTCAGATCAATGTTGAACTCTATGGACTGTTTGGTACAAAACAGATTGTAATTTCTCATGCTTCTGGAACTGTTAATACATCTGAAAGTACATCTAGCACAATCAAAACATTTCTTTCCAAACACTGTGCTGACTACCCTAACAACTGGGATGACCACCTATCAGCAGTTTCATTTGCCTTCAATGTGACTCACTTGGTATGTGCCTTTTTATCAATCCTATACTTGGTAGGATAGCTAGACAAATGTTTTATCACAAAATTTGCTGTTTATTTTTCTTAAAATAGGAGTCTACTAAAAATACACCATATTTTCAAATGTTTAATCGAAATCCTTATATGCCAGAGACTTCAGATGATCTTCATGAAGTGGATGGTGATAATGCAAGTATGTTTGCCAGAATTCTAGATGCAATTAAAGAAGCTGAAACTACTAAAATAGTGGAGAAAAATACATCATCAGTGGGCCAGGTGATTCTATTTAATACAAAAACTGTAAAATTCTATAAAGCGATAGTTACTTTTTAAATGCATGCATATTTACATAATATACCTTTAAAGAAAAAAGTGTTTTTATCAAGTTCTGCTTATCTTGGTTAAATAGTATGCTTTATGAAATTCTGAGGCAATAATAAAAAAAAAAAACTTTGGATTTAAGTAGAGCTGAATTCGTATCTGTATTCTTCCTACTTTCTAATAGTTTGACTTTGGAAAATTACTATGTTAGTTTGCCTTCTGTGTAAAATAGGGGTGGTAATACTAAGTTTTAAAATGGTGTTTTAGAAATTAAATAGGACTTATGCCTACCTTTTAGTAGTACCTCAATAAATAACCATTTTGTTATATTATTTGTATTTACTTTTAGAAATAACTCTTTGATCTCTTTATTCTTTTTTGTACTTATAGGTGGAGGACAACAATTTGGATGAACTGAATAAAAGGAAGATTGTTGTTAAAAAGAAACCAAAGCAATTAAATCCATTTCATTTAAAAGTGGGTCATGAAGTTTTAAGACAGAGGAAAAATTGGTGGAAAGATGGTCGTTTCCAGTCTGAATGGGTTGGTCCTTGTGTCATAGACTATATTACAGAAAGTGGATGTGCTGTCCTGAGAGACAATACTGGGACAAGACTCAAAAGACCTATCAAAATGTCTCACCTTAAGCCTTACGTAAGAGAATCCAGTGAACAAGGTAAATAGCTTACTTTCTATGAGTGAGGAGGGAAATTAAAAATGCCAGAAATCTTTCTTCCCTCATTTTGTTAGAGTTTCTTTTCTCTTGTAGTTCTTAAAAAATTTGGTATAGTTTTAGATATCCCAAGTAGTCTGTTCTATTATGATGTATGTGGAACTGATTTTATTTTGATTTCTAGTGTGTTTTTCATAGTTTACATGGAAAACACTGAACCTGTTTCCCAGAAGGACGGATTGCATCTTCTCTATTCACTTGCATGATATATTAGTCACTCTATTTCTCATTTTAGTGTGGAAAAACAAAAAATAAGATCATTAATGCCTAAAACAAACATATGGCCCAGAATCTAGTTATGAGATAAATAAATTAGGGAACTTTAAGAATGTCATTAATTTTTAATGTTGCTTCATGGGTAAGCCACCAGTAGGAACAGATACAAGTGTAGACTAGGGTATACTGAGAATGCTATATGGTGCTAGAAGAAGAGTTGATAGCCCTCTACACAAAGTTGCCCAAAATATAATTGCCCCAAAATATGACTTGTTTTAATAGTATATACTGATCTCTGCAACCTTTCTTACATAGACTAAATGATATGTTTACTGTGGCTTTCAGATTAAGTCCCGTACTTTATGAAAACCTTTAATTTGTCCTGGCATATCTATTCCCTAGAACTTCTCAGAGGCAGATAACTGAGAGCAAGTTAATTGATACCTTGTTCGGTAATTGTGCTCTTTCTATAGAGCATTATTATTTAAATATAAATATCACCTAATGGATGATACTATGTGGTATATTTTTTAACAACATAAGTTATTTAACAAACGTAAATAACAATAAGAGCAGCAACAACAAATAACCTACTCTTGTCCTATTACATTTTTTAGATATAAAGCCCTTTGGGGGGTTACTCACTAATAATAACTCAACTCTGCTTCTGATCTGAGCCACAACTCTTGTGTTAAAAGCTCTTGAGTACTTTGTTTCTTGTGACAGACCCAGTTACACTAACTTTATCCTTATCTTGGAGTATGTTCTAATTCTGAAACTTACAAGTACTTATATTCTCTGTTAGAAGATAAGTGCTGTTAGTCCTTGTTCTTACCCTTTAAATTTCTCTCTTCCAGAAGTTAAATAGAAAGAAAGATTATACAGACACATGTCCTTTCTTTTATAGCAGGATTTCCTCCTTAATCTTTGGCAATCAGGAGTTGCTCCCCTCGAATGCGTTAACTTTCCTTTATATAAAACTTATATTTCAAATGTTGTGGTACCAGGATCTGTTTCTACACTGTGCATTTCATTCTACCAAACACTGATAAAAAGTAGGTCAGATATTTTGCTGCTTCTGACTATTTCAGAACCAAATGGAGAACAGAAGATTCTAAATAGAAGCAGTGCAGTTTTTGCCTCATGGTTGAATTCTCTACAGATACATCTTCCATTAATATAAGAAAATTGCAGTATTACTGCAATTGATAGATTGATAGGTGAATTTGCTTAAGTTTTTCCTGTGAATCAGAGGATGTGCTGATTACTATTTGGTCCTTTTTTGTGTATTTCTTTCATTTGCAAAAGCATTATTTATGATTTATACCATCTTTTTTCTCAGTATCATTATTTTCCCAAAAATGTTTGCATCATAGTCATAAATTTGGATAACCTATATCCGAAAGAACTAGAAATTTGTCTCTCTACATTTGTCATTGTTACTCTTTGCCCGTCTTGAGTTTCCATAGCTATAAAGACTTTTGTCTTAAGCAGATACACTTCTATTGCCAACTTATCCATTCTTATCTAGAACATAATACAGAGTTACACATTTAGTATGAGATCTACTTTATATATCATGGCTATTTTAAGCAGGCCTAATTGTTATTTTGTCTAGTTCAATGCCACACAGTTTTTTAAACTAATTATTTTGACAAGAAATTTTAAAACATACCAGTGTTTCTTATAAGTGAAATGATCTCTTTTAAAAGGAAAAGTAATGTTATTGATCCACTATTCCATCCAAGACAGATTTTGAGTAGTTTTTAATTTATTTTGTTTGTGATAGCTTTGGATCTGCCTTACCCAAAAGTTTTAGTCTCGTTTTTTCTCTATGGTTGAAATCCCCCATTTTTAAATGACTTTTATTATTTAAGTTTTCTATTACTACCATAACAAATTATAAGTTTAGTGTCTTGAAACAACATAGATTTATTATCTTTAAGTTCTGTAAGTTAGAGGCCTACATACGCTAAAATCAAGGGGTTAACAGTGCTGTGTTCCTTTCTAGTTTCTAGTGCTACCTTCATTCCTTAATTTGGTCCTTTTCTTCTGTCTTCAAAGCCAGCAGCGGCTCCACCTCCTTTAGAGGACCTTGTCCTTAGACCACCTAAGTAATCTAGGATAGTTTTCCCATTTTAAGATCAGATAATTAGCAACCGTAATTCCATCACTGTCTTAATTCTCATTTTGTCATGTAAGGTTCATATTCACAGGTTTCAAGAATTAGTATGTGGACATCTTTGGGAAGCCCATTATTCTGCCTACCACAATTATGGTCTGCAAAGCTTAGTCTCTATGACATTAAGCCTTTGGGCTCTACATTATTATTAATAGAGTTTCTCTCATACTGAGAAAAGCCTTAATTTCTAATCCAAGCTCTCTGCTGGTAGCATTAGTTATTATGATAATGATACGGTATCAAGTTATTTATTATTTTTCCATAAGAAAGGATATACTAGAATGACAACATATTGTAAAAGTTTGAGGATTAGTCAACCCATATCTATGGTTAGTTTAGGCACCTTTCTTAAGAATAAGAAAATTAAATAGTACATATATTTTTCTTCCTATTTGAGGAATTAACCCACCCAAATCATTTAGGTATTTTCAGTGTATTTATTTTAATGTTTTTTCTACTTAGAGAAATTTAAAAGTCAATTTTTTTCCTGGTTTGAACTCAGGGCCTTGCACTTGCTAGGCAAGCACTCTATCACTTGAGCCAAACCCGTCCTTTTTGCTCCATTTATTTTTCAGATAGGGTCTTGAGCTTTCTCCTAGGGCCATCCTTGGACCGAAATCTTCCTTTATCTGCCTCCTGCATAACTGGGATTCTAGGCATGTGCTGCTACTCCAGCTTGTTTCACTAACTTTGCCCATGCTGGTCTTGAACCTCAATCCTCCTATCGCCACCTTCTGTGTAGCTAGGATTACAGATGTGCACTAACACACTTGACCTAAAAATCAATTATTTTTAATATTGTTTTATTCCTTAAAATTACATGAGGAAAATTACATCAAAATTGCTGATAACATCTTCCTGAAGCATACTGAAAATACCTCAGTTTCAAAAAAAAAACTAGACTTACTTATTCAGTCTGGTCAAAACTGCCCACAACCTGCATGAGTGTGCTGCGTGAACCTGACTAAGAGTGGCAGGGAATGAGAAATAAGACACACACAGACATACAGACATAAAACAGAAAGCTAGGATCGGGAGGGCTGCAGGTTCTTGATGGGAAACGTGAGTGCCTACCTGAGCCAGAGTGTTTATTTTATAGGTCAGTACAAGGAAAAGACTCAGGTAAAAATCAAGCTTTAACAATTCTTGATTCAAGGTAAAAGGAATGAGGTTTGGTGGGCTAATTTTCCTAAGGCTGATGAAGCTTAATTACAGCACATTAGTTCTGGAATCATCAGGGCACACAGAACACCTTATCTAGGTACTGATTAATCTGGCATCAGGGAATCTCCTAACATTTCTGGTACTTTATCTAGTTTTGCATCAGAGGGCTGGTATGCAGACACAGCAGGTTGTATTCTTCAAGGAGATGTGAGAACAAAGGTCAAGACTCCAGGTGCTGGGCAAATCATGGTAGAAGAGGCTGTGCAAACTTCTACCATGAAGAGGCTGTGCAAACTCCTACATGGAGAGGCTGTGCAGATTCCATTATTCCCAGTCCAGGCTTCATGCCTGGTCACCAACAAAAACTAAAATGATACTTTCATCAACTAGAGCTCATAATCATAATTGAATTAGTACAATAACAAGAGAAGAATAGTCTAGTCTGTTGTGCAGTGTAACTCAGTAAATATGTTTATCTCTATTTTGATGGCAAAAACTTCAGCATGTTCATTTTCTATATTCCTAACTCAGGATTATTCTAGATCAGCATTGTTCAACAGATACATGATACAAAAACTATGTGACATGTATATAAATTTTCTATTAGCACAATTTTAAAAAGTTCAAAGTGGTAGGTGAAAATAATTTTAATATTATATTTTCTAATACTCAGCATTTCCAAAATATCATTATTTCAACATACATGGTCCCCAAGAATCTCTTCCTTGATAGTCTTTATTGAACTTAAAGAGCATTTATATTGACTCCGGTAGATTTAGACTATAGTAAGAGTTGAAACATATTTTGTCTTTGTAAATGTTTTTTTTCCCCACACAAACAGGCCCATGACATCCTCAGTTTGTTTTCCTTTGTATATAAGTGACTTGTGTAGAATTTGCTGAGTGTAATCCTTCCTCTCTACACTTGTGTTACAATAAGGTTTATACTTATTTAAAGAAAAAAGATGTGTATTTGTATATTATTTGCATTAAGTACACATAGAAACTTTCTTCTTACCAATAGATGATGTTCGTAAAATCCATTCACTTCTAAGTCCAGTATAGCTAAGATGTGCTTAAACTCTAGTTCTCAGAATACATATCCAGGAAATTAAAGTGGTAACTTCTAAGAGCTTTAAATCTAGGAATATTTTTCTGCATTGATGTATACTTGACATATTTTCTAAAATATACAGCTTGCTCATCTGTATGGAAAAACATTCAGACAGAAATCCTACTTCGTCAGAGATCTCTGAAAGTGTCTTTGCAAATTCCTTAAATGATATGGTATCACTGATAACCACACAGTGTGGAGGCCTTGAACCTATGGAATTCTCCATGGCTTTTAAATTCATCAACAAGCCGTTTTATATTTTTAATTTTTTATCATACCTGACCTTTTCAGTTCTCTTTTAGACTGCTACCTGGCCCTCTCCAGTATGAAGAGTAAGCTAGTAAGCAAACTTCCATGTTGAACTGCTAACAACACACTCAAAACATTTGTTTTGTTGATCATTTTTTTCTTTTATCTTGCCACTTTTAGTCAAAGCACTTCTCATGTATTGCATGATTTATATTTTGTCTTTCAGATTTATTCCTCTTGTCCAACTAGCATTCAGAAATTATTTTCTTACCACTTTCAATTATCCATACTTTAATTCCATCATAAATAGTGTATCTTCTTAATGTTATTTTCAGTCTAATCACTACTTTGAATTAATAAGAATTGGTGAGATTAAACTTGAAAACTTCTCAAAACTAAAATACCAAGCACACTTTACCTAATAAAGAGCTAAGTGTGAAATGTAAGACCATATAAGCCCAAGCCCACTTAGGCTATCTGTTGTTAGAAGTTATGGATTTGTATGACCTATCAAAGTTTGTGAATTGAAGTTCTTAAATACATGAACTTCTGGAGTTGAAATAGGCTCAGTTACAAGGATGAGTAGAGTAGGATCATTTTCCTTGATATACTGACAGATTTTTCTTCTTTGAGAAACTTTCATCAATTCCTAATCTAAATTTTTTTTTTTTTTTGCTATTTCTTGATAAAATTTAAGAACTCGTTAAGCTGTTAAATCTTTAAGAGCATGTGTGAAGGTTTTGAGAGAAGATCCAGAAAGAAAAGGGTCAGGAAGTTAATCATCTATGGTGGAGAAGAGTTCCCTTTTGTAATGAATTGAAGTATCAGATAGGGAGGAATCATTTTCCATCTATTAGTCCTTATAGTAAAAGATGCTGCTGCTTTGCCATCAGTTTAACATTCATGTTACATACTTTTTTCTTGTGGATAATGATAAATTTGATAAAAATGTAACAAAATGCTGATAAGGGAAGATTCCTTGTCAGTGTTTCAGTGAGGACTAGGTAGACCTTAAAAGTTTGTAAGAATTTTTGGTATTAAATTAAACTTCAATTATTTAAGCTTTTAACCTGCTTCATTTAAGCCTGTCTCCTTACACATTCCTGTCACATAATACCAACTTTGACTACTTTATCACTTAGTTTATTACTTCATATTATAACAATTTGGTATTATCTTCTTAAGATGGGTTCTGTGAAGATTGGATAATCATTAAAATTATAAATATGAGATTTAACAATTCCATTTGTCAAAATATCTTTGTTGAACCTATTAATTTACCCAGAAATGCTTTGTAAAAGCAAATTGAGGATATCATAATTGTCAAAATATAATTTGGTAATTTTGTTTTTTTTAATCTAAACCACTCCTACCACCTAATCCTCAACATAAATATCTACCAAAGAAAAGTCAAGGGAATAGTAAAATTTGTTTTAAAATCCATGGTATCCCTATATTCCTGCACTCTACGTGTATGAACTGTCATCTATATATATAAAAAATTTTATCCAGTCTTTGACATGTATATTTATTTAATAGATAAGGGAATTCCCCAGAAGTTAATCTTAATAGTTAATTTTTATTACTTTGGGTTTTGTTCCTCATTTAACAGTGTATAATTTTTAAATGATGTTCAGTTATAATTCTAAAAAGCACCTTCCATGTCTCCTCTTTCAGACAGTCTTTATCTCCTGCAAGGTTCCGTAGTGGCAGATCATGACTACATTGGATTACCTGAAATTCCAGTTGGCGCATACCAAACAAATATTCTGGTAGAAGATGCGACTATAGGTGTAGTCGATAATGAACTCTTGACATCAAGCAAGGATCGTGAACTATTGGAATATAGAAATGCCAAAATCTCGCCATTGATAGAAGATCATGGTACTCTTGAAAAGCAGACTTTCAGTCTGTTGGACTCTTCAAACCAAGTACTTGAGTACTTAAGTTAGCAAAAAAACCCTTGAGTCTTGGTATCTTAGCTGTTAAAATTGGTTATATAGAAGTGTTTCCGTGCACTGTTAATGACTAAATCCTATAGGTTTATTTTATTACTGTTGTACCACATTGGAATGTGAGTATATGTATATTATATATATGTATGTTAAGGAATTATATAATATATAGAATGCAGTTTTTCTTCTAAACAGAACAGGCAAAGTACTTTTGCTTCTTAGGAAATAAATTCTAACACAAAACTGAAACATTTGTCTGCTATCAATATCACATTTTTATTTCTAGTTTTTCTGGAATAATTCCTCATTGAAAATAAATTTAAACTACTGGAGTGGGATTAGTAAATCTTGAATGAAGTTTAACAGGAATGATAGGAAACTTCTTTCTGTGTCAGGATCTTAAGACACAATAGTGTAGGAAATACTTTAGGATTGCTTAATGGGTTTTTATAGAATATTGATAATTTCATATTTGATTTATAAGATAGGTTCAATATTATGGTCAGAAACTATTTGTTGGTTTGAAAACCTTTGGGTTTCTCCCATATTATATATTAAAACCAAACACATCAATTAATAAGATTTTTTTTCTGCAATCTAAAAAACTAGTGATGTAACAGCTAATATCAAAGATTTCAAGCTGTAGTTTCTATGATTATATAACTTTATTCAACAAATTTTATAAAGCACTATGGGAAAATTAAAAGGTGAATCGGATGTATACCTCATGCTCATAAGGCAAATACTGGCTTAAGGAATATAGACCATATCAGTCATATACAACACAAATTAAAAGTTAGGACATGCTAAATTCCAGGAGACAAGTACAAAGAATGTACTAAGAGAAGCAAAAAAGAGATGTTCCTGTATAGGAAACTTAGATTCATCCTTATAGAAAAGGGGTCATTTAAGCTTGACCTTAAAAAATGTATAGGAATTGGTGAGTGGGCATGAAAGAAGTAAGGGAGAAGAAATGCACAGACAGAATAGTAGTATAATTCACAGAAGGGGTCTTTTTGTTGTTTTCACTACCTGGAGTATAAAAGTAGCAAGATAAGGAGGGAATTACACTGAAAAATTAACTAGGAACCCAGTGGGGAACTTTGGATGTTGTTAAGGCCCCTCCCAAAATTGATCTGTTGAAGTTTTAACCTCCATAACTCTAGAATGTGACCTTATATGGAAATAGATTTTTTTTTTAGATGTAATTACTTCACATGAAATTTACTGGAATAAAATGGGCTCTAATCCTAAATGACTGGTATCCTTATAAGAGGAGGAAATTTGGACACAGATTCAGGATTAATGTCATATAAAATGAAGCAGAAGTCAGGTGCCAGTGGCTCACACCAGTAATCCTAGCTACTCAGGAGGCAAAGATCAGGAGGATCGCAGTTTGAAGCCAGTCCAGGCAAATAGTTTGTAAGACCCTCATCTCAGAAATAGCCAACACAAAAAAATGGGCTGCCGGAGTGGCTCAAATGATAGAGAATGCCTACCTAGCAAGTGTGATGTCCTGAGTTTAAACCTCAGTACCACACATACACACACACAAAAGATGAAGCAGAGATTAGGTGATGTTTCTATAAGCCAAGAAATGCCAAAGATTGCCGGCAAATCAGCATAGGACAAGTTCTCCACACAGTTCTCAGTAGGAACAACCTCATCTCAGACTTCCTCCAGAACTGGAAGACAGTAAAATTCTGTTGTTTAAATCACCCAGTTTGTGGTATTTTGTTACAGTAGCCCTAGCAAACTAATATAAATGCCTTGCTTAATTATTTTCTGAGAGCAAAAACTACATGAAGGTCTTCATATATGGAAATGTCATGATCAGAACAGTGTTTTAGAAAGTTTAAACTTCAAGGTTGTAAAGACTAGAGGAAAAAAGAAAGATATGTGATAGGATTTTGCTATAAAGATAAGTAGTAAATTCCTAAACTAGACCTATAGCATTGGCAATGAAGCCTTAATTTCATTATGGAATATCTCATATTATTCATCAACATAGTGAATAATGGCTACATGATACTGAAGATTTAATTATGTTTAATATAGGTGAGAGGATAAGCGAAAGGGAAAAAATCGGTCTAAGGCCTCATCTTATGTTGCAGACCAAATAAATTCCAGGAAAAATTCCAGAAAGAAACCTTAAGGAAACATAATTTATCAAACCTGTCCTCCCATCAGCAGAACAAAGCTCATGATGGAATCACAGGGAGGCATTCCTTGGTAAATATAAGTGGTGTGTCCTCAGAGCAGATGAGTTGACTTTCCTCCAATGATCACCTGACTTAAAATCAGCCTCTTTTACTTTCTATTTTAAGAAGACAATTAGCATTCAGAGTCATTTCTGAATTGCAAATTCTTAGTAGTTAAAAAAATTCTACCTAAATAATTTCTCATCAAACTTTTTTTTTTCCTCTGCATGAGTCATGTTAGGCTAGGTATTCTGTATCTGCAAATCATCCCCAAATCTTAGTGGTTTAAGTCAAAAAGCTTCATTTCTTGGCTATCCCACATGTCCCTTTTGGTTCATCAAGGACCTGGTTCCATTTCGTCCTCACTCCACCCCTGGAATAATGCTGTAAATGGCAAAGGGGAGATGATGAACTGAGCACTAAATCATAAAAGACTTTGTGATGCTATATACATTCTTATAATGGTCACACCTTGTCATTTGCTGCTGATGAGTATAGAATTTCTTTTTGTGTTAAGATCCTGTTGTAAAATTAGTAGTGCTTTTATTACCATGTGAATATACCAAAATCCACTGAACTGTACAATTCTTTTTTATTTTATCACAGTACTGGAGATTGAATTCAGGGCCTATGCTTTCTAGGCAAGCACTCCACTGCTTGAGCCATGCCCCACAGTCCTTTTGCTTTTAGTGTGCTCTTTCTGAGAGGGTATCACAGTAACTTTGCCTGGGTTGGCCTCAAATCATGATCCTCCTACCTCTACCTCCCAAGTAGCTGGCAAACCACAGGTGCGTGCCACCACAACCAGCTTGTTCTTGAGGCAGGATCTTGCTAACTTCTGCAGTTTGCAGGCTGGCCTCAAACTGACCCTTCTGTATCTTCCTCCTAAACAGCTGGGATTGCAGGTATGCACTGAGTTGTATAATTTACAAGGGTGCTCCAGATTACCTCCCACAGCTGAAGATACAGGTCTTCCCCAGGAGACACTGGCACCAGACTGACCCTGTGGAGCCAGGCCAGCCCACCTTAGAATCCAACTAGATGGCCCATGCAGATCCTCTGCATGGTCAGACTAGTGAAGGCCTTTCCCTGACAAAATAATCTATAAAGACTGGAAGAGGCCAAAAATAGTGACTCATATCTGTAATCTCAGATATTTGGGACATGCAGATTGGAAAGGTCATGCTTGGTGGACAGCCCAGGCAAAAAGTTAGACTCTATCATCAACCAACAAGCCAAGTGTGTTGGTGTGTGCCCATAATCACAGTCTGAGGCCAGCCCTGAGCAAAAATGTAAGATCCTATCCCCCTATCCAAAAAATAAGTGATATGGTACTTGCCTACCAAATATAAGGCCCTGAGTTCAAACTGCAATACCATCAAAAAAATTGTACAAAAATATTAACAATTTTATTCATCAGTTATACCTCAAAGCTGGCAAATAAGTGGGGAGTAAAAGTAATGGAAGTAAAGTAATTATGGATTCAATGCAAGTTACTGAAAAAAAAGCTATAGAAATAGCTTCAAAGTTGATCTCATTATTTATCTGAACAGCATTATATCCAAATCATAGTTGATGTTTATTCATGTGGCAGGAAGTTTTTATAGTACATAGATTACATCCCAAAATCTGTTACAGAGTCTAGACCACAGATTTCAAGACCAAAGTAGCCACATAGTGACACATAATTCTAAAGCAGAGTTAAGTACAGTCTTCCATATTCCTGGGAAGAGGAGAACCAGAATATTAGTGGATAACATCAATTGTTATCACACACATCTTTTTGTTTTGCAATTTCTATTATTTATGATCAAAGTTATTTTTACTCCTGGATATGTAGCTAACACAACCTATTCAAAGTGTTGATTTTATAATTGAAATTCAGAATTCTTATGCAGAGATTTCAAGTACAGATTTTAAATAAATATGCACAGAAAATACCCCAGTTTTACTCATAACATCTTATTTGCAATGTTTGCAAGCCATGTCAAGAGTAAAAATGGGGATCCACATATGTAACTATTTAGAAGGTATAAATTAAGCTAGCTATTCTCACTTCACAAATTCATCTTAAGGTTCCTAGAATTCTTGGACTCCTGATTGTCCCACACTAGAGAATGACAACCCAGGGAAAGCTGGTCTCAGAGAGCCTTCATTCTCTCAACACTGTCTTCTAAGGACAATTGTCCCCAGCTCCTACAGAGGCACCCCATCCCCAACCCAGACCTTTGAACCAAAGGTTCCAGTTGTTTTTCTTCTAGGAACAGACCAGGAAGGGCCTGGAAGTGACAGTTCTGAGAAAAGAGACTTCAGGAGTTGAAGTAGAGAACACAGAAAACTCTAAAGAAAAGTGGTCCTTCCCCTGCACTACTTTCATATAGTGGTGGAGAGGAAAATACTAAATGTAATGTTTCTGATCCTTCCATATCATGTTGTCTTATTATTACACAGAAATATGTAATTTAGCAGCCTTGGGTTTCTGGGCATTATTTCATTCTGCGTTTTTGCTCTGTCCATTTAGAATTCTGTTCTTACACATATATGCCTATGTGTTCACTTTTCAGTTTTGTGCACTGAATAAAAGTAGTGATAATCATAGTGATTTTTGTGAACTGCTTCACAAATCAGTGACAAATTTGTCTGGATTTTGTAAATAGGACTTTCAGTCAGTCTTCTGTTGATCTACTGATTGCTAAATATGTTTAATAATCATTTTACTTGAGGTAGTTACAGCAAGCGTCATGGTTTTCTTTTAATGTAATGTGAAAATGCATAATATACAAAATATATAAAGAGCTATAACACAAAACACAAAAAGGTAACTCAGTTTTAGAATGAGGAAAGGACTTCATTAGATATTTCTCCAAAAAAAAGGAAAATGGCCAATAGGCACTTGTGAAAAGATGCTCGACATTCTTAATCATAAGGAAAAAGCATATTAAAAAGTACAATGAAATACCACTTCACATGTA